GGCGCGTTTTATGGAGCCACCAAAATAATTTTTTTTGTACTTGAGGTACAAATTTCTTTAGATTTCTCTCAAAATCTAAGGAATATTCATTCTTTTACACAAAAAGCAGAAATCTTTCAAGCTCTAATAAATACATTTTATTATTATTTTGATATTAATTTTTGTTATATTTATAACCTTTTAAGGTGATAATCTTGGAGTTTCTTTACTTGATTCTCTAACTGTAAGAGGTGAAGAACGAACTAATCCTAGCACAGCTTTTCTGTTACCTTCAAACCAGTTTTGGAAACAAGATGAAGTTTTATCCTATACGCCTGTTAGTAACTACACTGTTTCAAATTATTATAAATTTTTTCAAGATCTTAAATATCAAACAGGCTGGGATATGTGGCTAGACACTCATAAATTAATTCATAATCTTGAATCACCTGGTGTGGAAATACATTGTTTATATGGTACAGGTTTACAAACAATATCTCAGTAAGTATCAATTATTTGTTTTATTTATATTTCCATTTTTATATAATTAGTAAGTAGTTATTGTAGCAATAAATTTAAATATTCATAGTAAAATATCCTGAAATTGAAGAAGATAATTTAAACTTAAATATGCCTAAATAAATAAAAATGTTTGAAATTACATTTTTGTTATGTTCTAATTTAAACACCCACATTATAATATCCAATAATAGTTCTAAATTTTAACAGATAATAGTTTTGCAGAATTATTTTAATCAGAATACTTTTATAGACTAAAAATAATCATTTTACATTATTGGAAATGAACAATGTACAGTGTGTCCCATTAATAAATGTCCACAGGAGAGTAATGCTGCAAAGTTCATGCGGTATGTCAGCAGGACTGGGTTTTGTTGCATGAATAGAGGGAATGTTCCAGTTAATTCATTAATGCCAAAATTTAGTGTTGATAATTGAAAGTGAAACCACATTAAAGGGTAATTAGAAGATAATACAAGTGATAAGAATTTAATATGGTGAAGTACGATTACAGATTTAAATTTTGTTACAACTTATGTTCAAAGTGGTGACAATTTTCAGCAAGACAGTAATGAAGTCTGTACTTAAATGAAATTGTAATATTTATGCAACAAAACCCAGCCCCTGCTAACATATAGCTTGACCTTCAGCATTGCTCTCCTATGGACAATTATTGTTGGTGCATCCTATATATTTATTCATGAAAATTAAGACAGTGAAACTAAATTAACCATTCAGCAGTGACCGGTGGATATATCTGTCGGGTGATCGTATGGCACTGGTGAATGACAGATATATCTGCAAAATTCTTTTGTGGATATTGCCAAAAACTACCGCAAAAAAAAATTCACATAAAAAAAAATTATGTAACAATTAAAAAAAAACATTTCTTTACTAGACATTACCATTTCGGAAAAAGATTTTGTAAACAGTTATGAGAAAAAACGTGTGAAAAAATACTTTAAAAATTTCCCATGTTTATTCTCCATTACATAGGTATAGCACCATACCTGACTAACCCACTGCTGAAAGGTTAAATGTCAGTATACAGAATTTTTTAGAAATAACTATTATTAAACAATTGTTGGTAACATTGTTTCAAATTACAGTATTATATATTTATTACTTATTAATATGTTAAATTTTAGAAACTAGATTTATTTATAAGAAGTATTTCTTAATGTTTACAGGTTTTATTATAAAGATATGGATAGTTTTCCTAATTCTTATCCAGAACTTGAGTATGGAGATGGTGATGGAACAGTGAATGTAAGAAGTTTACGAGGATGTTTAAGATGGACAAACATATTCTATAGAGAATACAAAAGTATCGATCACATGAAAATCTTACAGCATCCACCAGTTTTGGATTACATTCGTAACCTTGCTGTTGGAAATTAATAATGAAATTAAAAGATTTTAAAGTGTTATTTGGTTATTACTTTTCCTTTCAACATTTAAATATATCTACTAGCTTAAATAAATATATAACTTATATATCTATAAAATCTTATTGAATAACTAACTTTCATTACCTTTTAGACATGTATCATGTATATTTTTTAAACTGTTTAATTTTGAAAATGTCATTCTAACTTCATCTTTTATTATTAAAGTAAGCTTTTTCATGAAACTATTTATTGTATTCAATTTTCGTAATAAATTGTGCCAAATTTTATTTTCAAATATTTTTAAAGTTTTTAATATATGTATGTATATATAAATATATTTATTTTTAATACATTCCTGTTAATTGTGATTGTGAACATTCCACTTTTTCAATTTTTTAGAATGTGTACTTTGTTTTTATTATTACTGATAAAAATATAGTATGTAGTATTACTTTTTGTAAATATAATATAAATTTGAATATGTAATTCAAATAAATTAATTTATAAAAGTTTATTAACCCTTTTCTGAGTGATTTCTCAAATAAATCTTCTTCTTAGACCTTAGTCCCACTTACCAGCAGGGTCGGCACATCTGGATTTTATTTTGAATCTCCATTTGGTCCAATCATGGGCCTGGTCGCTCTGGGTGTAGGCCTACAGCTTGCAGATCATGATGTAGTGTGTCCAGCCAACGCTACCTTGGGCGGGACCCAGGTACCTCCAAATTTAGGCCCATGTGAATGATGGAGTCGGCGTCAGCGCAGAGCACATGGCCATAAAGGTGCAAGCACCACTCACATGCTTTCTCATTGATCTCAGCAATGCCATACCGGGCTCTGATGTATACGTTGGGTTTCTCAAATAAATAAAACTTAAAAATCTGAAATTTAGTTAAACTATAATGAGAATTTCAGTTTAAGTACTTATCTATGTTAGGATTTCATCATCATTAGGAAAGAATTTCATCATAATCATAATATCAATTAGTATTTATTTTATATCTACGAAAGAATATAACAAAAAATGGATTTTGGAAAATAAACTGTTAAATTTGAAATTGTTAGGCTACTGCAATAGTTACCTGAACATTTTGAATCCTGTAAAACAATAGTCTTGGACTTTGTTCCAAAACAATTTATTCTAAAACTTTAGAATAGCATTGGGACAGAATGATAGATATTTTATTAGAGTTTGATTTGTGAATAGAGAAGGAATGTTACATTTAGAGCAAGAATAATGAAAAATTTGATTATTTCTATTTGTTATTTAAACAAAATGAGTCAGGCAACCATTGGACTTTAGAGTTTACATAGGATATAGGAGATTATGTCAGAAAATCAGGTGATGGGTGTTTAAAACACCTGAGAATTTCAGAATGGTCAATGTAGTTTTGAACTAGGCTTGCAGAGATGTCAAATTAGACATCCTAGATTTTACTGAAAGTTTAATGTTTTAGTACATTCCTTCCACTAATGCATGGTAACTTAACTTGTGCCAACAAGTAGCAGTTTAGGTGAAATTACCATTTAAACTTTTCCATGTACAGTATGTTGCATATCCAGTTCTATAAACAAATCGTAATAAGTGTGGAGTAATGAGTCCAGGTTGAAAAGCTTGACATTGTGAGTTTGTCCTGCTTTTTTCCAACTTTTTTCTGAAGTTTGCAACCCAGTGAATTATTAGAAAATATATTTGGCCCAAAAACAATATTTTGTAATTATTGAGGCTCATCTACATAGTTTTAAATCAACAACTGTGAATAGTTAATACTTTTGCTACAGTTGTTTAGAGATAGTGTAGAAATATGGAGAAGCCATGAGTTAACCATAATGTCAAAGTTATTCAACATTTCTCAATCAAGAGAGATTCAGTGAAGCAGTGTTCCACAGCACAAGTAAATTTGAGTTGCCTAATCAGGGTTGTTTTTTTTTAGTATATCATGAAGTGGTTTTGTATATGTTTCAGATTATATAATCTGTAAACATGTTTTATTATTTTTATACAAATGACTATAAATTTCAAAAAGAACTTTTTCATGTTCTTTGAAACAGAAATCTAATAAAGATATCTGTTTATAAGACTGGAGAACAACAGTAAATATAACTGCAATTTACAGTACAGTTATATTCAAAATACAGAAATTTATTTATTTACAATGATAAATATAAAATTAACTTACATTGTCAATTTTTTATCATTTATTTACATTAAAAATATAATTCTGCTTTCAATAATTTTGATTTAGAGTAAATGATCTATTTGTATGTACTGTACAGATGTAGGATCTTACATCTACATATATTTTGAAAAATCAATTCCCTTTGATTTTCAACAAAAATAATAAACAAAACTGTAAAACAGTTTATAAAGCTAGTAGTACAATAGCATGGAATGTTGGACCGAATACAGTATTTGGCATTATTCTGTATTCAGGTGTATTGAGGACCTGATAGAATATGGATTTGCAGTCATGATATGTACATAACTTTATTGATTTTATTGAAATTATAAAAGTTGTTTATATTTTTACATATATGAAAATCTATGAAATGGCTTTGTTTTGTAATCTCAGCATATCAAAGATGTGGCTGGAACAGGACACAGCAAGACTTTCATGGCCTACAGTGCTTTTCCTTTCTGACAAACTTTCAAATGCACATGAACGTTTTGTTCTGTCACATCTGAGATTTGAAGTCTTGGATGTTACAAAAAATTCTCCAATGTATTTTCGAATAAGCCTCAAATCATTTCCTTCGAACTTTTGTATATCAATCATAAACATAACGAAGAATATGATTTACTCAGTGAACCAAGCTTGGAACTCTATAAAATCAACTGAAATTTATATATGAATTTTAATGGCTTTGTTTTGCCATTATCATGTCTTGTACTGTACATATATTTTAATATTCATAGTAAATTAAAATTAGACTAGTTAATTATTTGCAACTTGTATGTTGAATTAAGAAAGATTATAAAATAAAGTTTTAAAAAACATATTATTATTTGTATCATTTACATATGCTAAAATAATTACAACTATTAAAGCATAAACTGAATTACAAAATACCTTACATGTGAATATCTAATGTTTAAATTCAACTAAATGACAAAATATGACAATAAGACTTATACAAAATCATTGAATTAACTTTGGTACAAGCAGATTTTTAATTATTTCCACAACTTTTGTTCTCCCACAATGAACTTTCTTGCTAATTTCAGAGCCAAAATTTTTCGTAATTTGGAATTCATTTTTATATCAAAGACAATGCTTAAATAACTGCAATTATGCTTTAAACCATTAAATTTGAGATAAAGAGTAAAAAAAAAAAAAAAAGAGGTAGCAATAGATTATGTCCTGTAGGCACCAGAGACGCACTCAAAACTTAATCTCAGGGAAGCCCATTTAAACGGATTAAAAAATGTTCAATGCAAACTTAAAATTCCCATCTAATGTGACTGCTGGTTCATAAGTAGTATAGAAATAGAAGACAAGACATAATATAAATAATAATTTAATTTTGATTAAGAAAAGATTTTTGGAAACTTCCTGGTATTTGTTTTCCTTTTTCTTTGAAGGCTACCAGGCCCCTTGGCCTCTCCTTTGAGTGCCTTCTGGTGGTCGTAATTGGGAGATAAATCCATTGTCATTGACAGAGTGTTATTGGGAGACAAGTCCACAGTCACATCCAGGAAAAGGTATTGAGTCCAGGTGAAAAGTGTCTAATCCAGTAAGAATGTCACATCTGGGTGCAGGAGGACGAATTGGGAAAATCGCCGCCTAGGCCAAGGGAACCACAGACACCACGGTCCCTCGAATTCGGTGGCTCACTACTCCATTTCCTCCCCATTCAGACTTCCGGAAAGCAGTGGCATCTCTGTTGTGGATGGAGAAACAGAACTCGACAAAACAGGAAGTGACAACTGTCCGAGCTCTCACTTCCTACATCCTCCACAATAAGGTCTGTGGCAAGCCAATTTTCGAAGACCTAGTACACTGGAGCATGGAGGTATCCCTACTCCGGGAGAGTGCCACACCACACGCACTTGGGAAGGTCATCACCCACTGCCTCTTGCTTGACGGTTCCAAACGACACCGAACTAATCGATTGGGAGGAGACATGGTCGAGCCCTTGGTACTCCAACGTCTCTTTGGGAGTGGTAAGAGTCAGAGAACCTCGTTGCATGCCATCGGAGCCTGCCGAGAAATCTCCCCCCCCCCCGGCACCACAGCCTTCCTCCGTGGGAACCTCCTGCCGATCCACTCAACATCTTCATTCTGTAAAAAAGAAAATTTACAATTAGTCGCGTCAAAACAAAAGCTTAAACTACATCTACGAGAAAAGCAAAGTGCTCATCGCAGTTCCCTAATTAAATCTAAAAGATTCGAATCGAAAACGAAACAACCGACCATCGAACAATGGGCCGAGATGTCTTCTGGTAACAATTCTTCCGGAAATATTAAATAAATTGATTAAAGTCCAGATACGTAGACTATCATGGCGGCTCATGTCTGATTTCAGCAAACAGAGGGGACGCACGTTCTAACCTAACCTATTCTACTAATTTGATTGGTAATAATTATGGTAATTTATTAGAATAGGTTAGGTTAGGTTAGGTTAGAACGTGCGTCCCCTCTGTTTGCTGGAATCAGACATGAGCCGCCATGACAGTCTACGTATCTGAACTTTAACCAATAAATTCTTACGTCTAGCGTGAGTATGGACTAAGACTTTCCTCAAAAATCTTTAGCAAACTCCGCAAGCAGCAAAAAAGCAACACAATCGGAGAGCTCAACAAAAACACGTCCGACTCCGAGCAGAAACACAATCGAACTGCGAACAGCGTTGCCACAATGAAATTTCAAAACGTACTAAAGCTCCTTCAAAAAATGTACTATTTCTATGGTCGGTTGGTTGCTTTTGATATTAATATACTGTATCATCATACTCAATTTTTGTGCTTATTTCAAATTCATATTCATGAATACTTTGAAATTAAATATTTCATAAAAAGATTTTATGAAAATAGTTTGTATGTTTTTTGTTAAATACAGCATTAAAAATTGATTTTTTAAAAATATAATAGTGATGGACAAAAAAAATGATAAATTAAATATGCGTGGACAGATTCAAATTAACAAAAGTTATTTCTTTTACCAAGATTACTAAAATTGAAATTTAAGAATTAAATTATAGTGGTAGAAAATAATATAAAAGTATTTATATTATTTATGTTCGTACAATTTCAAAATTATTTTGTGTAATAATTCGACTCTGACTTAACAGATATTTTGATATTATTACGATCTATGGGGCTCGGGATATAAATTCAGAATACAGTTTACCGAAACTGACACTTTTATTTAGATACACTAACAACAAAAAAAGTTATATCACTTGTTAAAAGAAAAACATCTCAGATATATTTTTTCCTAATATTAACTCTAAGAATTTCATTAGCAAAAGTGCATAGTTGCAAAATAATTCATATTTATGTTTGGGTTACAAATAGTTCAAATCGGCTACTTTTAAAGCACAGTTTTGTTACATTTTTATTTTCAGATCTGGCAACACTGTTCGTCAGTCCGTATCACTTTCAACATGTCTTTGAACATGACACAAGATGATATTTCAGCGGCTCCCGTCGTGGATCCCGAAGAAATTTTTGATAACTTGACGTGCTTTAATTTTGCACGCTACTTTCCCACCGAAGAGGCAGCGGAGAAATTTTGCCACATGGTGAGACTCGTTCCCCATCCGGACCTAACCGGCTTTGTACCGTCGTGCCCAAAGTGCGGAGGTAAGATTTCCTTGATTTCCTCCTATACACGAGTGCCGTATGCAGGTATCTGTTAGCTAATTCAATTTGACATATTTTTCAGGCGTGATGAGGAAAGAGCTGGCACCAGCGGATAGGTTCGGATTCGTCTACCGCTGTGAAAAACTACAACAAAAGAAAAAAATGCGCCGGCGGACTGGCGGCTCCGTCTGGCGGGCCGTTTGCACCGGTACCCTCTCTTGTACCCATAACACATTTTTTGAAAGAGCTCAGCTCTCAGCTCAACAGGTATGATATCGTGGCAGTATGCCATATTTATATATATTATATTTCTCATATTTCTTCTCTTTCTTTGTTCCTTTGTCTTTTGCCATTCTGGAATTTTACTGTTTAACCCTACCCTTAGGAGTTGATGACTCACATCTAAGACAATAGAAACTAGGTAGCTTTAAGGGGTTAACAGGGTGAGGGAAGGACACCCACAGAATCGGCGGTTTCACGTTACGTGCTTCTATAATTCGATCGTACCGCTTAAGATGATGTATGTTTTATGAGATTTTTTTTTTTTGTATTTATCAGGTGCTGATGATAATTTATGAATGGGTCAAAGAGGAACCGGTCACCGTCGCCGCAAAAGAATGCGGCGTGGCCCTGAAAACAGCGGTGGACTGGTTTAACTTCTGCCGGGAAATTGCGGAGGTTTTCGTCTCCAACAACCAAAATCATCAACTTGGCGGTTACGGAAAGCACGTCGAGGTGACGATCGATCCAAGTTTCTGACTTCGCCGATATGTCTATGTCTCTATATCTATATACATATGTTTTCTTTTCAGATTAATGAAACTTTTACTAGGAGACGAAAATACAACCGCGGGCGCGTTACCAAAGGCACCCAAATAACTATATTTGGTGCCTATTGTCGGGAAACGCGAGAGCCTATGTACTGGCATGTAAGTAGTAACGAAACATTATTTCCTATTATTTTTTTGCTTTTAGTGGAAGTTTTGTGTTATATTTTGTCGTATTCTTTCAGGTAGAGAACAAAAGCAGGCGCGTTTTATGGAGCCACGTGTCCAGATACATAGCCCCTGGTTCCATCATCGTTTCCGACAGCGCGCCCCAATATCGCGGTTGTACGACGATGGGCTTCTCGGAACAAAAGACCGTGAATCACAGCCAGCAGGGCTCCGGGAGGTAAGGAGGATGATACTGTGCTATGTGTTAAGTGAAAGAAATGAACGAGCGTTATTGAAAAGGATACCGAAAAGTGACATTTTTCTTTTTTCTTGCAGATTCGTCAACAGCGAAGATCCCGAGGCCCACACTCAAAACATCGAGTGTAGAGATCGCTGGCCGAAGAAGTCCATCAAGTCGCTCCGCACGGACAGGAGCCTGCAGGGGAGTTACGCTTGCAGCTACGTGTACAGGATGCGGTTCCTGTCCAAGTTGCCAACAATATCGGCAAAATTCCGGCAGTTTATCGGGGATATCGTGGCCGTCTACCCGGGCCCCGGTCGCCAGGGTCTCCAACTCAAGACGATCGGTGTGCCCGTGGATCAACATCCGCCGCCAGACGAGTCCTATTTCGATGTTCCCGTGCACGAGGGCGACGAAGAGGAACGACAGGGTGATGACGATCGCCTAGTGAGTAGTGCAGCTTGTGTATAGTGCGCATGACCAAAGGATACTTCTTTGCGAATGTGAAACCTGGATTATATGATTTTTTTTCAGACAACATCGGGCGCCACCAACACCATTGTCATCGACCCCCAGGACCTAGCCGAGGCGGGGACTAGCGGCCTCACCCCGTTCTCACCTTCATAACTTCAGAAACAGGCTAGGCGTCGCCAAGTAGCGAGAGGACGTCGCAGGAGATGCAAGAGGAGACGCTGTTGAAGGTGAGTAGAATTAGTTTTCTTCGCCTTTTACATTGGCAGTTAGAATGTGTGGTACAGTGCTTTTCGGTTAGCATGGCGCCAGTCAATTGATGTGATCTAACTCACGTGTATTGGGTTGATAATTGGTTCAGAGAGAATTTCTCAAATGGGTAAGCCGGAAATGATTAGTGAGTTTAGAAGCGGTTCCTATCGCTCGCGATCTCGCGCGACTCGATTTCGATCGAATCGCGAGCGATCGAAATCGAGCGACTCGATCGAAATCGGAACAAGCCTCTCGGAGTACCACTAGACTCCATATGAATAAGCCTATCGGAGAAAGAGCACTTTACGTAAAGCTAGAATCTCCATATAAAACCATTAAGTAATAAGAAAGTTCTGCACTTCCTTGGCAGATCGCAGGAATTTTTCCATGCGCGATAGGTATAGAAAAAGATTTTTTTGGTACCCGTAAAACGGAAAAGCCAAAAGCTTAAAAAATAAAACCATGTTATGTTTTTCGTTATTAAGATGCGTTTTTAATTTATTTTTTATTTTTTCCATTGTGTTAAAACGTAAATTTAACTCCTTATAAAATATTAAAATTTAAAAAAAAAAAAAAAGTGTTTTTAGAGGAAAATATAGATGGCGCTAATTTGTAAATTTAGTAGATTTTAGAGGATAATTAACTACGTTCCGCCTCTTTTCGAAGTCGTGAATGGTCGCTTGAGTGGTGCGTTGTTATTTAAAAATGTCAACAACAGATGTTACTCGGGACGAAAGAGTTAGACTCAGGCGAGCATTGAGCGTTACAAAAGCTCAAGAAATATCAGAAAAGCAGAAAAAAGAGCGCCAAGCTCAACCTGATCAACCGTAAGTTCAACATCACTTGTTAATCAAAATGCTTTATTTAGTTATAATTAAATGTAAATATTTTATATAATCTTAAAACTTAGATAATGGATGAATAAGTCTTTGCTTTTTTTTATACATAATAATTATAAAGTTTGAATCTACAAGAACAATATATGATACAAGATTCTAGATATAAAGACGACCTTTATCCTCTGTTGTTAAGATTATGTACTTTAAAAGATTGCAGATTATATAATTTTAATGAAAGCTATTACATTTTATTGATTAGAAATCAGAAAAATTAATATGTAAATTTCAAATGTTTGCTTTTGATTTTATTTTCATTCAAATTCTTGCTATTTTGCATGCTTCCTGTATCCTGTAAAGACACCATAATGTTTAAACATCCCTACAAATCCAATTTAATGCAATAACTCGCCAACAACTGCCGTAAATCATCTGGCTATAATTTGGAATAAATAATTCCAAATTATAGCCCAGTGATTTACAGCAGTGAGTTATTACACTGTAATGTTCTGTCGGTGAAAAAGTTTTAAGTTATAATTCCTTATTTATAGCCATTCATATTTTAAGGGAGTTTGCATTATTGCATTTTAATGCTTATTTTTTAATATGTAGCTGAATAAGGAATAAAGATTCTGGAAGAAAATGGTGTGTGTCGATAAATAAGAATTGTGACTTCGTCTACATTTGTTTTTCAATTTTGTAATGCAACAACCTCAAAACCTTAATATTTTAAAAATATAGATAAAGAAATAGTAAAAACCGCCCATTTCTATCTATAAGAATTCAAAAAAAAATAATTAACGTGAAAATAACTCTAAGTTTTTAAAAAATACAACTAACAAACTAATTTACTGGAGTTTATGGTACTTATAGGTTAAGAGAACGCCAGTCGGAAATAGCAATCAAAGTCGCGATTTTGAATGAAAATATCAAAATAACAATAGACTAGTAAATTTAAATCTAAAAAGGTTCTAAAAATGAAAAAAAAAATCAATTAGGATGATTATAGATATCACCTATTTGCCATATTTGCTGTATACACTACAAAACAATTTGCATATTCAAGTGGTTTATTATTAGAATTTGTGAGATTTTGTTATATCTTTATAAATCGTAATTACAGTATTGTTTAATTTAACAATTATATTAAATTTGACAAATAAAAAAAAATTGCATTATTTGGAAAAAACGCTATTTCCGACTGGTGACCTCTTAACCCATAAGTACCAAGTTTACTTTAATAACACTTTACTCAAGTACTTTTGGGCAACTAATGTATCTCCTAACAATTTGGGTTTGATTGCCCAAAAGTACTTGGAAGAAACTTCTTGTTAAAGTGAACTTCAGTACAGTAAAGCAGTTTGTTGTATTTATAAAAATTATTAGTAGTAACCAAATATTGGACTTTTCTGAAAACTGCACTTGTCATAAATTACAGTACCACTACTCAAATAATTAAAAATGTAGTATATTTTAATTGTCTAACATTTTTTGTTGTCTTAATTGAAATTTATTTCTTTGTCCTGAGGAAGGTCATTTAAGATCAAAAATGTTTGAAAATTAAAATTATGTTGCGTTTTTAAAGGTTTAGTTAGTAGTATTCTGGTATCAAATTTTTGTTTTTTTATTCTAGTTAAATGTGTTATCTGTTTCTATTTTAGTATGTCTCACTTAATCTTAAATGCCAATATAGTTTTCCAACTGATGTATCTAGTTTTAAATAAGATTGTGTTTCTGCTAAAGACCATCAACACGTTTAAAATAGACAACCCTACTTGAGAAAAACTAAAAAGAACTATAGAACCAGAAGTGATCTTTCACAAGATTGGCATCCAAAACTTGTTTCTGCAGTGCTAAATGACACACAATAATTTAGTGAGCATAAAAAAATTTAAATAATTTTAAATAGTATTTAAAATGTAGAGTTTTCTTCTTTTCTTCTTTAAAAGAACTAAGTGTTCTATATAATGGACCATATTTATGTTTATAGTATAGAACTATAAGAGGTGTAAGGAGCACTTTGCAACAGACTATACTGTGAATATTGTACCTTTTTGTTTTTTTTGCTAGTTTGATAATAGCTTCTAATTTCTTCTGATTCTATGTCACGACTTGGTGCATTTATAGACACTTGGCAAATAATTCCATCACCTACATTTACTTCTTACAGAAACGCGTTTCGGGCTTTCGCCCCTCTTCAGTCTGTTACGTCGATAGTTGACAACTATCGACGTAACAGACTGAAGAGGGGCGAAAGCCCGAAACGCGTTTCTGTAAGAAGTAAATGTAGGTGATGGAATTATTTGCCAAGTGTCTATAAATGCACCAAGTCGTGACATAGAATCAGAAGAAACAAGAAAAAGAAGACACGGTTTCGACAAATAACTAAAACAAGCTTCTAATTTTTTGAAATTGCAAATAGCCTCTGGAACAAATTGTCATGTTTTATTTTTGAAAAATTTTTATTTTACTACTATTTTCAGTTCATCTAAAATTTTTCTTTGAACCATGCTGATAATTTTTTTTTATAAAGATACACTTTTTTCCCTGAAACAATTTTGTTTTGTCAGAAAACCATTTAATCAAAATTGAAATATGTTAAACTCCTTGACTTATACAGCAGTCCTTCAAAGTACCTGAGTAAAGTTTATAAAAAAGTTAGAGAACTCAAAATAAAATAAGCAACATAAACCCAATAAAAGAATTGTTTTAAAAAAGATGGTTTTTTTTTCCAAAAAATAGGCATGGTGACATCTGAAAATGTCTGTTGAAGAGATCATAAATAAGATAATAGGCCTATATGTTAAAAGTTTAAAAACTGGTTGGCAATTGACAAGGAAATTTCAGTGTCTGCTTTATCATCATAAATATATCAAATTGTTACTGAAGAATGATCTTCAGGATTATCTAGATTAAGAAATTTAATAATTAATTTAGAAGATTGTTAAAACAATTAAAAATATTTGATTATATATATATATATATTTTTTCAAATTATCTCATTGAATAAAATTAGAATTTCCACTATTGTGATCTAATTTCACTGAATAGTGTTAGTACTCAATTATTATGAGTATAGGTTAATCCCAAAATGATTACAATGAACAGCATCTACTTTACAATCTACTGTATAAAACTGAAAAAATGGGCAGTCTCTGTCAGTGTATAGAGTGCCAGCAAAGCATAGCGACAAACCTAGGAATTGCCTGAGTTTGTGTGCAAGTGCACTACAGTGCAATTTGTAATGATGATATTTAGTATGCTCTGATGCCTGCATTTTTTTATTACTTTAATTTTGTCACTAAATATCTTGCAACAATTGTTTCTTTTATACAATTTGAAAAATTTTTGATATTTGAAACTTGCATAGTAAAATTTAGATAAATGAATAAATTCTTAAACTGAATAATATATATATTTAACTAAATTAAATATTTAAAACAGTCTCTATAGTCTTTTGATGAACATAGTGTTTCAGTGAACATATTACAATGTAAAATGAAACACTATGTTAATTCTGCACTGTGCATGCATGCACTGTGGTTAAGCTCTGTGTATATGCCTTGTATAAATAAAATGTTTGTTACATGAAGTGCCAAAAGTTATTTAGTGTTATTTTTACAATGTTTTTTTAGAAAGTTTTTCAGAATATCTGGTTATGTCATTCTACTTAATTTGCTTGCATATATCCACATGAAATCCAATTTAGTATTGTGATACATCCATGGAATTGCTAAATATCTCTGTAGTAATAGTTGAAAAAAAAATAGTTTAATTATGATTGTTTTTGTACTTATATATATCAAAATATTTTAGTTGAAAAATAAGTTTTTTCAAATTAAAATTTTTTCTTACTTTTGTACCTTATTTTAATTATCTTACTCTCCCCTATGGACATTTAAAGATACATTTTCTCAAACCCAATGTGGAGGCTGAGGTAGCCAGGGCTGCCCAATTCTCCATAAACTGTGGTGCTTTTTGTCCATTTGGGATTCCTTCCCAGATAGGATAAAACTACAGAACCCTGATTGTGATTTCACACCTTGTCAAATGGCTGGCTATGTGGAGTTTTCCTGCTGTTCATGTAACATTTAAATAAGTGGCAGTCTCCCAAAGTAAGTTCTCCCTTGATAGATTGCCAATGTGTTGTGTGCTGTTATTTCATGAAACCAAAGCTTTGAAAATTGACATCGAACATAAATGTAAAACACAAATTGAAGGAATATTCATTGTTTATGTTCGCCATTAAAGTTGTACAAGGTATACATGTTATATACAGAGCTTAGCTGTGCAGCAGATACGAGGTACATTGTGCATGCATCTCTCAATGATTTCATGTTTTAAGCCCACAAGTAAATTGGGGATTTTCTGATGGGATGTTTTATTCAGTGATCTTCCTTATTTTAATATATGCTAAATTTCACTTAGAAAAATTAACTAATGAAATACTTATGCTGTCTATTATATTAAGTTTTTCAAGTCTTATGCTAATTCAGACCATTGTGATACAACTTGTACAGATCTGAGTGAGGCTCATGGCAAACCTGAGCTATTGCTTGAAATTTTAAAATGACTGACCCTGATTTAGACATGAGCCACAATGGAATGGCCCATGCATACTGACATTGACCTATCATGATTACATTTAAACATATATTATAGAACATTAGATCTACTCTAATAGATATACAGTGTGGGCCAACGAAAACAAAATGAAAACAGAAAAAAGTAAAACAAACTATTAACAAACATAAAAAAACCTTTTAAGCTGGACCACATATGCAAGGAAAAAATAGATCATAAAATTAAGGCTGATAATGTGTTATCTGTTTCCAGATGTTCTTTTTTGTAGTGTTCACATTAAGCTTGACCACTTAATGATTCAACCAGAATTTAAGATTATTGTTTGTTTATTATGAATTTTGTACAACATAATCGTTATGGTTTACACAATTGCTGAAAGGGTAGAAATAGTAACTCTTCATTTCAGAAATCACGAGAATGCTTATCTTACTGCAAATTTATTTAATCAACGCTATCCAAACAAATATTGTAATGCAAAATACATTCTGGAGTTGGTTCAAAAGTTTCAGTTAACGGGTTCTGTGGCTAACAAAAGACACAACCCTGGACGTGAACGTCCAGTAAGAAATGAATCAACAGAGAGGTGGTGCACAATTCAAATATTTATTGAATACTTGATAACTTTTTTCTTATGTTTGTTACTTTATTTGAAATAAATGTTTGTTTAGTTAATAAAAAATGAATGAGTTTTTAAAATTTTTTGTTATCTGTTGTATTCAGAATCGCAAAAACTTTATTGCTGAAGATGTTCCCTTTGAGAATAAAATTGACCTGTCCGAGCGATTTGCTTGGACAAACACGATAACTCTGCTGTTTCGTTTTCATTGGCCCACCCTGTATATCTGGAGTGAAAGTACTACTAAACCAGCAAAAAATTATTCACTTGACAAGGTTGACCCCTTTTTAATACTGTTTATTTTGAAATACAGAAAAATTCTAAACCTTTTTCCAATTTCTTTTTCAGTTAAATGTTTGTTTATTGATTGGTCTTTTTTTACTTCAAAAATAGAATCTTAACCAGCAGATGAATTTAATCAATCTCAGTCAACCATGATTAATTTGCTGGTCGAGGTTGAACTTTTTTTTTAGTTTGAATAGTTTTAGTTTATATCTTATTCATAATTAATCTGTGGAAAGTTTTGGTTTTAATTAGTTTATTTATAAATATCATTATTAGAGGGTGTCTCTAATTTTTTGGCCACTCAGTGTATATACATTATGATTAAAAATTTTAAGTAAAATTTATGATCTACATTAAATAAAGTTCTATAAATTTATTTGTTGAAAGTTTACTTTAAATTTACTGATTCTAATTTTCTTGTGTGAATGAATTTAAAAATTTTCTAATAAATTTTGGCAATAAGTTTCATATCAACTGTCATCAAAATCTGTTCACCTAATCCACATCTATGCACCAACAGAATAATTAACTGCAGTTAATTAATAAATATTTCATCATAATTTTGGACTAAAGTTAGAAATATTAGTAAGAAATGAATTTTTGAGACATAATTACTTTGTATTTTAAATCCACCAAACTGAAATATAGAGAAATTCAAAAGTCAATATATATTTTAAGATTAATTTGCATGTTATTATTTGTGATTCAATTTCTTCCAATGAAGATGTATTAACATTCTGCTATTCTAAACCAGTTTTAACCATTCTTAAAATAATCTGAAATTATATCTTGGTTAACTGACATTTGGAAAATGCCATACAAAATTCCACTGATAAAAAGCTTGAAACATCACTATTTAAATAGATAATTATAGCTAATAAAATAATGTAGAAACTATAAAAACTTAAAAGTTATTGCTAAAAATGTATTTTCTTATTTATTTCAAAATTTAATGATGTATTCATGAGTATTTTGTTTCTTAAATATAATAAATAGAAAATTAAGCATTGAAATTTTAAAAAGTAATTAAATAATTGTGTAAAATATTTTTTTACGTTACTAATTTCAAAATTCACTCATTAATAAACAATTTACTTAGAAAACAATAACATTTAATATTCTACTAAAAATTTAATTTAATAAAAAAATAATATAATAATTTAGTAACTATTAAAACAGAAAATATGCAAAAATATCACAAAACGTCTAATCTTGGCATTTTTCCAAATAGGGTCAGACTAGAAAAAGTATCAGTAAATATTTAAACAAAAAAATGCATGATTTAACATTATTGTGGGAAATCTAGTTTGTACGAAATCTGGGAATTACACAGAGATATTATGTTAGTTCTTTTTTTCTTTAAATATTAATCTTGAATCAAATAAAACTTAAAAAATTTTTAATCAAATTTTTATGACCTAATGGATNATGAATAATAATGCACTTAAATTTTTTCCCATTTTATATTTTGTTTCAGATGCCATGTACCTCGAGATTCATTACTAAGTTCTTCTAGTGGATACACAAATTATAGAGGTTTATTAAATCTTTGTATTGTGTTATTAGTAAGTTTATTTCTATTCTAACTTTATGTAGACTAAAGTGATTACACACTTTAAAAACAAATATTAAATAAATGATTCCATGTTGCTTTCTCTTGGCATACAGAAAATTTAAAAAATGCATTAGAACTTTTGAGCTAAACAGCTCATCTTTGGAGGCAAAAAACTAAATTCAAACATATCTATAAAATTTCAATAGTTTGAAAATCATCACTGTTCTTAACAAGCTGACACTTTTTAAATTATTGGAGTTTTGTGGATATATTGAAATTTTAGATTTTTGTGTTGCCTCTGAAGATTTGTTTAGCTTGAAAGTACTAAGGCATTATTATTTTTTCTTCTGTACTCCTAGAGAAAACAGTGCCAAATCATTTATTTGACAAACCCATAAAAGTTGTGTGTGAATTAAATATTTAAGAGCATGAAATTAAAACATAATTTTATAATTTAGTAAGTAAATAATAGTAATAAAACAAGATAGCAGATTACAGTAGTACCTCAGGATACAAAATTAATTTGTTCTGAAACTGATATCGTATCATGAAAATGTTGTAAGGTGAATCATTTTTCCCCCATATGATTACATGTAAAACCAAATAATCCGTTCCAACACAAAAAACACACTCGAATTAAAGCTAAGTAGTACATTGAAAAAAAATAACTTTAGTAAGGAAAACACTGAAAACTGCATTTTGTAGTTGTAAATGTATGTATATGTATAAATAACCATAATAGAATAATAATTGATTTAAAAAAAAAGTAGTTTTATTTGCACTTTACCTGTGAGGATAGATGACGGTGGAGGTGTAAACTGGTGGCAGAGGAGAGGGAGAAGGGAAATGATACTAAAACTTAACTTACATAACATAATGTGACAATAACTTAAAAATAATTTAACACTAATTTTTTTATCTTTTCTGTTTTATATATTTTTTTAATTTTTTATTCACTGCTTTTTGCTTTCTTTCCTTCACTTCCACCTTCACTTTCAATGGATAGAAGTTGCTTGGTAAAATATCTAGCCAAAGAGGTTTGCCTACTTTTTAAAATGTGTCTAAAATAACTTAGGCAAATGTCATTACTCTGAGCAGCGATACGGCCAGTGTGAACCTTTTCTGGATGTTTCTTTACAATAAAATTAGTCACTTTCTGATAATACCTCAAGATTTCCTTTATCAAGCGAGAACCTTCCACAACGAAGCAAACACGTGGACTGAGACCAATGAACAGAAGTGAATAAAAAATGGCGCTGTGAACTAATGTAACGTCGTATAGTGAGTTTTTGTTTGTATCCTGGAGCAAAATTATGTTCAAATTTCATGTCGTATCCTGAAAATTTCGTATGCTGGAGCATTCGTATCCTGGGGTACTACTGTATATGAAAAAATTCGAAGGAAGTAAGTCCAGATACAACATTTAAGACCTACCCGGTGTGACAATTACTTTTACAAACTTCATTTGAATTTCCTGAAATATTTTGTTTTGAGTTTTTCACATTTTTTTGTTATGTAGCACTTAACAGATAATAAACCTTTTGATGACTTGCATAACCTCTATCAGCAGTCAACCAAGCATTGTTGGAGAACTAGGAAATAAATAGGCATCATTCTGCCAGGTCACTGTCTACTAATTTACCAACTATATATATAGTATATACAGTAGTGTTGATTATCCGAATCAATTGGGGACCGGGGTTGTTTTGAAAATTGATCTTTCAGATAACCAATTATGTACGAAAAAATACATTATTAATATAGTATATTAGCATATCCCAATAATAGCATATTAATATATCCTATGTTTAAATTTTTCTTCATTGTGTGTCGCTTTCTGTTGAATTTTCGTCAATGTTAAGCCTAACGAAAATTATAATAATCGTGGCTTAGTGGTACAAAATAAAGAAATAATAAAAATTATTTCTTTATTTTGTACAAACGATATTCAATAAATATATTGAAAAATATAAAAACAAGATTTATATTTTAGAAGTTAATCTAGTATCAAAAACATTTGATTCAGAACGACACAGTCTGACTGGAATGCTTTCAGTTAACCAACATTTTGGTTGATCGACATTCAGATAATCAATGCTCTACTGTACTTACAGATATGTACAGTACAGTTTTGCAAGCATCCACTTTTATGATTGGTACACATTTTCTGTTAGCTTTACATGAAATGCTATATTTAAATATCATATTTTTTGATGATATTAATGAAGCTTCAGTTGTATTTCTAGAAATATAACTTTAGTTTCCCACAAACTCAATGCCACAAACTAGAATGGATTTCATAAACATACATATATAAATGTTAAGTAAATTTTTTTTTGTATAATGTAGATCAATTGGCTTGAACTGCTATCTTGATGGACATTATAAATTGTATTAAAAAAAGTGTTTAAATAAATATTATTGCTATATAGTAATATATATATTTATAGTAATTGTGTGTGTGTGTAGGCAACTCTGAAAGTTTCTAGATATGTACAAACCATTAAATGTAATTTAATGATCATATCTTCTCAAAGTACTCCCCATCATATTCTATACAGTATTTTATCTTCTCAAATCAAGCAATTATACCATTGAATTTCTGAGATGATTTTTCTAGTTCTGAAGAAGCTGCCTCTCCAGAACTCTGGAAACTGTCTGAAAAGCAGTTCTCTGACTTAAGAATAGAAAATAATTATAAGATGCCAGAATTAGATTATGGGGGGAATTGAATACTTAATTCAGTCCACTGTCCTCTTTATCATATGTTCCAGGACATTATTGTGAAGAAGAAACAGACTAAAGTTTGGTTCCTTTGGACATCATCAACACATCTTTGAAAGACTTTTAGTAGACAAACGTAGAATACTAATTGGCAGTTTTTCAACCTTGTACATATGTTGCAACATAGCTAGTCCTTTTCTTCATTTTTGGGACATTTCATATTTATAGGTTATAATGGCTTATCTAGGAATCCTATATTGATAAATGATGATTCATCACCAGTGACAATCTCTCAAACATATTTTGATTGCTTATTTCCAAATCTTAGGATCATGTAGTGGCATTATTTCTCATAAGCATCTTCTTCCTCGTCTGATAGGAGGAACACAATCAACATAGCATCTTCCTAACAAACCATTCTTTTGTGTAAAATCTTGTATACAGCTGCTGATTTATTTCCTAGATTGATTTTATATGTTACATATCTGCTCTAACTTTAACATAGTCTCAACATGACTCATCTATTCTGTAACTGTTATTACAATGATCATTTTTGTCTCATCTTTGAGTCATCAGGAGTGTATCCAGAGGGATGCTTTTAATGCTGTAGTATCCCCTCAATAACAAAGCAATCAGTTTTGTTACTTCAAAATAAAAATAAATATAATAATTCATTTTAGTACTTATGAAACCATGCTGGTAATTGTTGTGCAACTTGAACACCAACTATATAGTGTATTTGAATAAAAATTCATATTGCATGACTTCAGTTAGGTGAGATTATGTAATTGAATAACATTCTTTGAAAAACAATAGTGGACTGGTGCCTTGGTCTCAATTTGTCTTGAGCAATGCCCATATTCTCAATCTTGGATATGCCACTGAGTCATTTACATCAAAGTGCACCAAAACACCTTCATATAGTACAAACTAAATTTTGTTAGTATCTTGCAAATACTGGAACAGTTGGTCCTCCTTTAAACCAAATTTAAAATTGTAAAACATTGCTGCCCAAAAATCAGTGCTGTAACTAGGCAGGTGCAATGGGTGCACCTGCACAGGGCTCACTTGGAAGGGGGTCCAAAATGCTGTTCACAAGAAATTATATTTAAAAATTTTTCTGCCTTTCTACTGCACAGTTTGGTGATTAGATTTTTGCCTTACTTAGACCCTAGATATCTCTGCTCACCAACATGAACATTTGAATGAATGGCAGAACAGACTGATATTTCAACGTGCCTATGTTAAAGTACGAATTCACATGTAAAATTGAAAGTTTTAAGTTTGAAGTGACAACTCTTATACCAAATATAGAAACTGAATCTCCACTTAATATTCTACAGGCTCTTCATGATTTTGGTTTAATTGAATCTTACCCAAATATCAATGTCACTCTTTGAATATTTTTAACTCTTTCCATTTCTATTGCTTTGTGCAAGAGAAATTCTAGCAAGTTGAAATTAATAAAAAATTATTTAAGATCAACTATTGGACAAGAGCAATTATCCAATCTTTCTATTATTTCAATAGAATACAATAACATTAAAAATATTAATTATTATGGTGTAATTAATGAATTTGCTGAAATGAATGCCAGAAAAGTGCAATTAAAATAAATCTTAATAAAACAAATACATTACAATAGCTTTTTAATATTTCCCCAAACTTAATTAATTAAGGTGCCTAAATGCAAATTCTTGCACAGTGCACAAGAATGGCTAGTTATGGCACTGCCATAATCAAAGACCACTCAATTACAGACAATCATAAGACCACTAGATATATTTTCTGCTGTTCTTAGAATGGCAGTTTACAAGAGAAACATCTATTGAATCAGAGCTGTTCCATTAAATACACACATGTAATGTTGCACAATATGTACTTTCTCCCCTATGATAACTTTCAGTGTGGCTTATGTATCAGTATATTGACTATAATTAATAAATAATTGTTTCGAAGAAATTAAATTAAAATTTATGTTTATAATGTAGATATTGTCAAATTCAAGAGTTGCACTTGAAAATATTATTAAGTAAGTATAATACACTTATCTTATTAAAAATATTAATAAAATATTAATATGATTTTGATTATCCAGATATGGAATATTAGTGGATCCTATTCAAATACTTAAAATTTTTGTTCATCGTCCATCAAAGTCTCCTACAGTTCTTCTGTTGCTAGGTATGTAAAAAGTTATTAATGATGCATTTTATTTAAATTGTAGTTTCATCATTTAAAATTATGATTATTCTCCTAGTCTTTTTTAGTTAATTAAAATAAAACATTTTTGAAAAACTTTTGGAAATTATATACATCTTACTCAGATAATGCTAAATTTATAAATACAGTAGAACTTCACTAATTCATGCATACTGGGAGAAAATCTAGTTCAAATTAGTGAGGTTAAATGCATTTTGTATGGTTGAAAAGTATACTTTATTCAAAATCAATTTTGTTGTGCTGTATTTGTTATACTGCAGTTTGATAAATTTTTACAATAGTTTTGAAATGACAAGAATAATGATGCTAGTTTTGTAAAAATAGCATCATTATTCTTGTCATTTTAAACATATTTACTAATTTGAAAAGAAGTTAATTCATAAAATTTTTAAAAATATACTTAAATATAAAAATATAATAAGATGATAATATAGATATGAATTTGAACTCAAATTCATTTATATACAATCTATCTGTTGACAATTTTATTAAAGTTAGAGCTTTAATATACAGCAATGTTTCTCAACGGGGGCAATATTGCCCCCATGTGGGCGTTTTTCCACGTTGAAGGGGTGATTAGTAATAATTTATATTTTGGGGCGAAAAACGATTTTCTGGGTGATATAGTAAAACATTATAGTAAGAATAATTAGATATTTTATTCATTATATTGTACAATAATTAAACAAATAACATTATACTAGTCACTAGTCTATTCAATGCACTACAACTTTGGCGTTAGTCTTGGCTTTTGGCATCGGAATTTTGAAGTGACGGAGGTGATACTATGTTGGAGGGGCGATGATTCGTTACAGATTGAGAAACACTGATATACAGTATACACTATCCACTTGTGTTGTCCTAACTGTAAAGTATGATGGTCTAGGACTGTTTGTCATGGTTCAAGCTGGATCTCCTGGTTCCAGTGATAGAAAAGTTTAAAGCTATTAGCTATAATGACATTCATGACAACCATGCATTTCCAATATGGTGAAGGCCCACTTTTGTACTTACATGAGAAAATGAACGACTCCTCAACAAACCTGATTTTTGATTAAAGTCAGATGATCTCATTCACAAAGCATGTTCTATTGAAGAATAAGATTGTTGAGATGACTGCTGAAGAATTTGACTGGCCTGTGCAAAGTCCAGATATGAACCATATTGAACATCTTTTGTGATGAACTGGAATGTTGACTACAAGCCAGGCAACAATGTCCAATGTCAGTGACTGACCTGACTAATGTTCTATTGGAAGAATGGAAGACTATTCTTACAGCAATATTCCTTCATCTAGTGAAAAGCTTTCCCTGTAGAGTGGTATCATGATAGTAGCAAAAAGTTGACCATCCCCATATTAATTTTCATCCTACTTGAAGGAAACTGTCCATGACAGGTGTTCAAATAGATAATATCAGATGGTATAATATAAAATAGATAGATTTTCTATATAATTACATTTTACAATTGAAAATTATGTAATTAATCTTTTAATTATGTGTTTTAATTTACAGGACTAAATATATTTATTTTGGGATCTCTGTTGATTGAATTAATGATGGCTAAAGTAAGTAAAATCATTTTTTATTATTTTTTTTCAAGAATTTTAAAAAAATTTTATTTATTTCTACTGACATACTTATCTGAAGCTATATTTAACTTTAAAATGTATTAATCATGTTAGCAGTATTTAAAGTATGGTCATTGGATCAAATTTTAAAATACAAAAAGTATCTCCTCCTTTTTCTTTTCTATTGCATTTTGTTTTGATTTAGATTTTTAAAAAAAAACTGCCATTACTCTTCTTCCTCCTTCCACAGCATTATTCAACAGGTACCGTCACCTCAGAGGTAAACAATGTTACTTAGTTTAAAATGATAACTTATCATGTCATTCACTATAGAGGAACAGAGAGCTATGGTGTGATTTCTTTAGGCAGAAGAACAAAAACTGTCACAATCCATAACAAAGTGTTGAAAGTATATACTTTCAACAATTGTCCAAAATATTCAAATGAGCAAAGAGCCTATGCAATCAGCAATGATCTGGCTGTTCAGTTTCAGCTTTGGCAGAAAGGGAAATGGAAAAAATTGTAATCTATGGTTGGGAACTTTTGCAACAGCCATCTTGCCACTTTAACCTATAGTAGTGTTTAGTGACTGTGTATATTTGGTCCAATGAAAAAATTTCTCAGAAAGAACATATTTTAAACAAAGAAATAAGTTGCATAATTTTGAATAAAATACATTATCTAAAAGTGTAAAAGTTAAAAAAAGAATTACTTTTTGAAATACCCTTGAAGATGAAATTACAGGTATTCCTTACTTAATATTAGTAATCTGTTCCTGACATTAACCACAAGACTGTATAATTTTTCCCATACAAATTAATGAGAAATAATGTGCTACAATGTCAACCCAAAATTTTCAACTAATTTCTGAAATTATAACTAAAACATCTGTGTATAAGCTGCAAACTATCATATTAGAACATAAAATGATAAATATATTGCTTTCTGATCACCAAATAGTTAATATGATTAACAAATGGTTGCTTTGTATGCAGTAACATGTGCATTCTGCAAACCATACCACAAATATTGTTTACAGTACAACATGCAATTAATATGCATAAATAGGGAGATTTGTTTTAAAAAAGTGCAGATTTCAATAAAAACAAGTTATAAATGTCATTACATTCTTAACAATGTACTGGTACCTAACACTTGTAAATTGGAAAATTGATTAACTACTGTTGGTAATATCATGAAAGCATGTTTAAGCTTTATTATAGATGATGATGGCATCATATGACACTGTGGTGTCTTTTCCAGATCAGCTGTACTTGAGATGCATATTCTATTTGAGAGTCTGGGTGCTTTACAAAATATCTACATGTGATTTCTAATATTCAAACCAATTGTATTTGGAATTTAACTTTAGACTTCTTGCATGTATTGCATTGTTAAAAATACTGAAATGAGTTTTTGGAATGTAAATGCACAAATTTTTCTTACATAAACATTGGCTAAAAAGCATATCTGAGAGAAATGTACTGCACAGTAAATGAAATTTGTGTATGAAACACCAAAAGGCATTCTATCAAGAAAATGTTAAGTAGAGGATGCCTGTATTTCTATATTTTATTGTTTTTCTCTTTGTTAAAATTTTTAAGATTAGAAACCAATACAATATGTATTTTATATCATATTTAGTTAATTTCACATTGAACCTATTGTAAAAAGCAATTATTAATGTAATTTAATAACAACAGAAGTTCAATCTTTGTTGTGAGTATATTTACTACATTGATTTAAAACTATTAGTATTATGTATAATTATATATTATCTGATTAAAATTTGATTTTCATAATATAGTCCTCCTTTATAAATTAGAATATTGAAAATAATACTTAGATATATTCAAGGATTTATATTATGTAGTTAATTCTTAAATATTTTATCCAGGAAAAAATCAAAGAAGAAAAGGGAAGACTTATCACTGTTGCTCACTTATCGGCACTTATTGTGCTACCACCAATATTTGTATACATTTTGGATTGCCATCCAGGTATAATTTTATGTATTTAAACATCAATCAAAACCTTGACAATCTAGTAAATAATTTAATGAAAAATTTGACAAACATTTTCAATCTTACACAAGATCTGCTTTAGGTCAACAACATTGAAAGATCAAAAATGTTCGTTGAATTTTACATTAAATTATTTACTGGGTTTTCAAGGTTTTGGTTGATGTACTTATTGTTCCAGTTATCAGGAGGAAGTTAATTTCATTATTCATTATTTTATAAATTCATTATCATCATACACCATTAATGAATTTAGGCCATGTTGACTCATTTCAGTCTCAACTAGACAGGATCTAGGAGTTGTTTTAGTGGATGTCCTGGTTGTCTTTGTCCTCATGGATGATACTGTAAAACTGCATTAGGTATCTTACCTAGTAGCATTCAAGATACATGTTGAAGCCATTTTTCTCTACGTGTGGAGAGTTTTTCAATTAATGGTTGTGTGAGGATAACCAGGGATAGTATATATTGTGTCTACCTCTTACTGGCAACAGATCTGTAAGATCTGTCCACTGAGTTGTAGGATGGCATTAATTATGTGGTCATTAAAGTTTGGGAGATAGGCGATCCTGAGATTGTCCTCTCCATTGTCAGGATTCCCGGCACCAGTTAAACTATTGTTCCGCGGTTTAACTCTTATTCAATTATTAGTGGAAAAATTTAAGTAGAAGGGCTATTTCTGCGAGTGAGGAGGATATGTAGGATATATTTCAGAGTCATGGCCCAATTAATTAAAACAAACAAGATTTAATAAAAGAAAAGTAAAATACAACAATACAATATTGCGAGAATAATAATTCTAATCTATTCTGTTCACGTGAGAGAGAGCTTACAATATTAGATTTATACTACCTTAACTCATATAGCATCTGTAATCTTCTGTAGAGGAGGACAGGAGATGGAGAATGAATGGAGGATCATCTTCTCTTATGAAGGTGCACAACATTAAAATATTGAGATGGAGACTGTTTTTTATGGCAGCAGACTGCCTGGAGTTATGTGGCAATATCTGTCATGAGAACTGCCTCCTATGGCATCTCAGGGTCTTCGAGAACTGTCCTTCTATGTGGCAATATCAATTATTATGAACTGCCCCAAATGGTGGGAAAATCTTTTTTTAGTTCCTTCTTTGGCCAATCTAATCCAAGACACACACAAGATGTGTAACGAGTGCAGAAAGAGTAAACAGACATATGGCCATCAGAATTATAGATAAGGCCGTATGGGAAAGGATGTTGATTTCTCTTTTCTCCAAAAATGATGAATGTAACTTCCTTTCTTGATAATAATATTTAGAAAAATATATTTTCTTGTAATAATTAATCTAACAAATCCCAATTTTCACAGTTGCATATTGAGTTCTTCCAAAATGTCCTTATTTTTTCAGTGCTCCAGTAGTGTATATCCAACTGTTCAGCACATAAACCTCATTTCAGCTGCCTGTAATCTGTTAATATCTTTCTTCTTTAGGGCCCAGATTTCACTTCCATACAAAAGAGTTGGAAGAGCCAGAGTTTTATATAATTTTAGTCTGGAATGTTTTTGTACAAGGTGGCAACAAGTGCATCCAACAATGTTAAAAATTCTTAAAAATAGAAAAACATTACAAAATCAGATTAGTAAATGATAGAATAATAGTTCTGTAAACATTTTTATATTACTAAACTATAACATTGTGCATTAAACTTTTCTGGAATTTTACTTTCAAGGTTCAGAGGTGTGCATTTTTTAGGATATAATATATTCCAGTCATACAGTGTTTGAACTATAACTTAATATCCTAGGATAAAAGTATGGTATTTAATAAAATATTTAGATTTGTAAATGAATTTTTAAGAAATCTTAAACAGAGTTATTGAAAAATACTATTCTATTTTTCAAATTGTTTCATCCACCTGATCTAGTTAAGAACTGTTAGAACAGCCAAGTATTTATATGCTGAAAGTTTTATAAGCCATGAAACATATACTCTGTATCTGTTGTTATCAGTTCATGATAAATGAATAAATAAAATAGTGAACTCATTTATTGGTCTTATTCTCAAAACTGCATGCCCTTTGTCCATTTTGTTTACTAAACTGTGGCATAGGAGTGGTCTTCTATGTCAATATTTATCAACTTTGCATGAGTACTTTTATCTCTTGTAATTCCCTTTGCTTGAGAGCAAATTTTTTTGGAATTATATATTAAAATATTTAATAACAATTAATCCCAACAATGTCAATAAACTTTTTTAGTAGTTTTTATATACATAGCTAAATATATATATTAAATCCCAACAATGTTAATAAACTGAAATGCTATATATTCCGTGGATGAATCTTCACACACAAATTTTCACTCCTTAGATTTCATTGAGAAGTCCAAGGTAGTCTTTAGAACGTATGAATTAGATTGGCATATATTTTGTCACCTTCTCTATGTCCTCAGTAAATGTGCTCTTCTTTGTTCAGTGATCTCTTCATTCAGCTCTGTGGATTTGCATTCCAGACAAAATAAAGTCCATCAAGAAGAAAAAAAGAAAGATGTAATTCCCTCATTTGATTTGTTCTTATGTCCTTTCGAATTGTCACAAACATCTTTCCCCCAATCAGTATGCTCCACAAAGATGGCCTGGTTGACCTTGATCCTCTTTGAATGCACACCTGGCAAACTGAGACCATTTTCACCTCCAGTAATAGTGTTTGAATGAGGCATAATAACTGCTCAGGATGGAAAGAGAAAAGAAAAAATAAAAAACAAACATGAAATGGGAGTGCCACACTCTAAATAGATGCACAACATTCAAAGAGATAAAATACCAATGTAAATCTCTTACGGGTTTGGCATTATGGTTCTATACTATTTCTGTCATTCAGGAGATATTACAAATGTTTAGTTTTTCTTAGCTTCTAAGATTTATTTAGGAAATACAGTGGGTGATCGGTTAACGAACATAATCTGTTCCAAGACTTTTTTACTATCCGAATTGTTCGTTAACCGATTATCGATTTACCATAGGTTTTAATGGGAATTTAATTTGTTCTGGAGACCCCCAAAAATAAAAAAATATATACTTTCTTACTATGTTTATTTATATGTAATAATAAAAATACATACATACATAGTCTTGCATTTTTATTAGTCATGTTTTTTCCATTTGAAAAGGTTAAAGAATCTGTCTAATATCGATTGCTTTTCTCTCTTCTTCAGGATTTTTCATAAGTAATTAATAGCATTGCAATTGTAGAAATCCCCAAGCCTCAACCTGGTTTGGATGCGATTCTAAGATCGTTGTTCTGACATCCTCCCACTTCTTCTTCAAAGGATTTTTAATAACAGATATTGGCATTAATTTTTTTTTTTCAGAAGAAAATATATCTTGTTGAATTTCTTGGTGTTCCATTATGAACTCTTCGACGTTCTTTATTTCTCAGATGTGATTTTTTTTTTTTTTACTCCTTTAGCTGCTTGAGTCTTCTTGATTATACAGTATTTTTCTTAAATAAGATTGAACTGCGACCTACTGTAGACCTGTTCACACCATACTTCCCAGCAACATTAGGCATCTTCTGCCCAATCTCTATCTTTGCTATTATACTCTCACCTTTCGAAAAGAAAAACAGACGCAAAACTTAACGAGTCCCTACCCAACAGTCTCGCAATTACATAAAAGAATTGTTTTGTCAGAAAAATAAAAGGCTGGAATTACAAGGGAGAGTTTCAAAGTTCAGAGGAATACTATCCAATCGGTATATACCAGCTTGAGTGTCAATGTTGACGTCTCTCACACTCCGAAAAGTTTCGAATTGTTGCCCAAAGATAAAGGAAGACCAATCGGTATTCATTATTTTATGTCGCTTCTTCTTGTGTTTGTTCTGTGGGGTGTTCATTAACCAATCACCCACTGTATATATAACAGTGGCGTGCTGTCCGTGGAAGCTGTGGAAGCATCACTTCTCTTGTATTTTCAAAAATATAAATACCTATTGTGTGATTATTTTCATATTTTAATGTACTTTGAATTCATTAAAATTAATATTTTATTATAACCGCATTATGTATCTTATTACAAATATCTATACATGTAAAAAACAATGGTAACATTGCTATTGTATATTTCAATATAAATTTGTATGCATACTGTATTCCCAATGGAAGCGCTGTATTGTCAAATATGGGCCAGCTTTCACTGCAAAAAAATATCTGAATCGTGTGAAGCAGCCAGATTGTACGATTATTTGTGCATGCGCTTTACAGAGCATCAATCTCACATGGTTTAGCTGGTGGATGCTACACACCAAAATATCATATAATGCTTCCAATGATTCTATCCAGGACCATCAAGCTTCCCTATCATCAAATGTCACCACACGCCACTGATGTAGGAAATCTAAAAATTTCCTTATATACTTATGTCCTATTCTTTTATGGTAATCTTAAACTCTTTCTCTCTAAAAAGAAGCATCCATAAATCAACCAGCAGTTTGACATAGTTCTGTCAATGTAATCCTGGTTGAGATCATTAGGATATTTATCATGGATCTCCTCCAGTCTGATAATGTCTGTACATATTGTGTAGGTTTAATGGTGTACTGATTTTGTCTGCAAGAGTTACTGCTTTATGCAGTTGTGATGTATCTTGTTTTCTGTAAAAAAATTCAGTGTCTCTGTAATGAAGATTTACTATAATTTTTGTACTGTTCTCTAAATTATTAATTCTTAACTATTTGATAATTTATTTCATTCAAGTTATCTTATATTGTTTTTATAGTTGCAGCCTCGATATTGATGGGAGAAGTTAGCATAATATTTCTTAAATTAGTTTCTTATCATATGGTTAATTATTGGTGCAGAAAAAGCCAGAAGACAATCACTAACCGCACACGTGGTCGATCATACACTGCAGTTGGTGGTTAGTGTGCTTTCATTAAATAATAACTGTTTAGGTTTTTTAAATTTTAACATTTTTGATAACATAATCTTTTTATAATTTTTACTTTATATTAGAAAGCATAGATTATTTAAATGGTGATTCTTCTGATTCAAAGTCTTCGTTAGTACATTATCCAGATAATTTAACAGTTAAAGGTAAAAATCTTATAATTTATTTAAATATTGTTTTTAATTTATAAATTTTTAATTTTTTTTTGTTTTGTAGAACTACAAAGCATAATTTATATTAATTTTTTTATAGATTTATATTACTTCATGTTTGCTCCTACTTTGTGTTACGAACTCAATTTTCCTCGTTCTGATCGTATTCGCAAAAGATTTTTGATTAAAAGGTTGTTAGAAATGGTAAGTTGTACATTTAAAAATTTATTTGATTTTAAATTATTTGTGATTTATTATAATTAGTTTTATTTAAAGAAAAATCGAAATTTTAAAAGATTACTAATGAATGAATTTTGATGAATACATAAAAGGCATAGTTAAGATAAAATTCTAAATTAAGAGAGTTTTTTTATTTTTATAATTACATGCATGATATTGAATCCTTTTGACATTCTTGACTTCAGTTATTTAGATTCAAAAATAATATGTATATATTAAATTTATTATTACTGTTGTGAGAACCAAGGGGGTATAGTGCCGAGCTTCTCCCCACTTATTGACTTCTTTGTCAGGGTATTTAAGAATATTTAATATATATAATGTCAGGCTTATCTGCTAGTTCTGAATAAATTAATCAATTTTAGACTGAATAAATATAAAAATTTTGTTCAATTTGATATCTACAAATGTAAATATGTAATTTATTATATAATTTAAAAATTTTTTAATTTCTGTGTACAGTCTTCTTATCTTACATTTTATAGTTTTTGTGCACTTCTATTGCTTGAAAAATAATTAATAGATTTTCACAAACATATTCTTATGATATAAGACAATAATAACTTGCATAAACTTATTTCAAGGTAATGTTTTTTAAATTACTGAACTTTTGAAAATATTAGCAGAAAGTTTGTGACTTTCCACAATAATTATAAATAAATATTTATATTTATAAAATGCCTTCATTACCTCTTACTTATTTAGCTGTTGCACTATAAATTATAGATAGGAGAGAATATTCAGTTCTGAAGAGAAATAGTTAGCCACTTGTTAAATTATATATTTTTTAAAAACATTGATTACTTCTTTTTTAATCTGCAAAAACGTTTTTTTATTTTCAGTTTATTCTTATACAAGTGATACTTGCACTTATTCAACAGTGGATGGTACCAATAGTTAACAATTCTTTCAAACCTTTGCAGGTATCTAATAAAAACAAGATTTTAAATTTGAAAATATCCTTTACATAATAATAATTATAAAATTTTTAATAGGAAATGAAGATTTCTCATGTCATAGAAAGATTATTGAAACTAGCAGTAAGTTTGCATTTTGTTTAATTGCAAATAATTGAAAAATATTTCTGAAGACAATTCTTTAAAGAATTCATCATTTAAAAAGAAAGAAAGAAAACATATTTTAAGTAGAGATTTATTTTTAGCAATTTCAGCTTGCCACGTAATCATATGAGGAGAGAACTCATGTAATGTAAGGAGCTGGCTTTGTTTATTACTTTCCAGCTAAATGCCATGAGAAATTTTTAAATCTTGAACAATTATTTACTTAAGGGATAGCATTGAACTTTACATAAATAAACAACCTTTGCTTTTTATTCATCTTTGAATGATAATATATACACACACTCCCATTGTGGTATGAAGTTAAGAGCAGTGATTCTTGGATTTGAAAAAAAAAACTTGTTAATTTAATTACATATTAAAATTAACAGGGTATTAAATGACATACATACCAGAAATTTCCTCCATTAAATCCAAAGTCCATTAAATTGAGGCTTTACTCTAATAACTAAACAATGCAACACTTTGGAGTTAGTTATTTATGTTAGTCAGATACTACAACTTAGTATCACCAAACTCCTTGCAAGTTCTCTTTTCATTTGATTACCTGGTGTAATGTTTTTAATTTGAATAAAAAGTAGGTAGGTATCAAAGTTTTGAATCTGAATATTTATTTTCAATACAGTATATAGAATATATAAAGATGTCAAAACTTGACTTTTATTGGATCATGATTAGACTAATTAAGAAAGTATATTGAACAATTTTTAGCATTTAATTATTTCCATGTTATTACATTTAGAAAAACACATTTATAAAGTATATTTAGCTTCACAATTTTCAGAAATTTAATTTTTATTTTAGCTAACTTTAAATTTTAAGTGAAATTTTTAAAATATTCAAATGGCAAATGCATTATAATGAAATTACAATAACTATTAATTATTTTTTTACAACAATAATACTATGATAAACATTATATAATAAAAATATTTCACACAATGAATGATGAAAACAAATTATTCATTTTATACATTTATAATTGAAATTTATATGTATAATTTTAAATACTGTTTTAATATCTGAATGAATGTAATTCTTTTTGGGGATCTTTACTAATAATTTTTTTCAGATTTTAACTTTCTCTTTAATTAAATAAAATATTTTAATAGGTTCCTAATCACTTCATCTGGCTACTATTTTTTTATTGGCTTTTTCATTCTTGTCTAAACTCATTTGCTGAAATATTAAGATTTGCTGATAGACAATTCTATAGAGATTGGTGGTAGGTATTTCCTGCTATAATTATTGTTCATTACTAACAATTTATAATTTTTTCCTTGAGAATACTAATTTGTTATCACTCAGATTAGTGAATATTGATAAAATATAATTCAGTGAATTACAGCTTTTGGAATATATAATTTAAATATATTAAAATATTACGTTTATGATTTATTTTTTTCATTATTAATTGCTGAACCTTATAATCTAATTTGTTGAAAGGAAAAGCAAAGTTATTCTCTACTGATTTCAGTCATGTCCTGTTCAAACTATAGTTATTGGTATTATTTCAGTGAGATTCACAATCTAATTGAATTTCATAGGCAGGCAAAATTTTTTGTCTTCAATTCTCAACACTAATCAGAATGAGTCGCAAGATTTTTTGATGACATTGACCAAAGAAACCCAGAATGCATTTTTGGATCAAGGGAGTAATCATCAATCAGTGGTGGATGTTGAATAAGGTTTGTCCATTGTTGAACTTGGATGAGAAGCATTTATTAGATAAGTTAATTGTACCTCATGCCAAATAATGATCTAGTTTAATGTTATGATATATTGTATTGTCTTATGGCATTAAAAGCAATGTTTTATTCAAAAAATTGCAACTCTCTTCAGGCTGATTTAATTAGACTCAGACTGACACAATTTTTCATATTTTTGTTTTCATACATTTCAAATGAAAAATCCTGTTTGATCTAATGTAATCAGCCTGAAGATGATAGTTGAAAACTATTGAAAATATTTGCAATTTTTTGAAAACATTGCTTTTAATGCCATAAGACAGCCAATACATTACATCATAAAATTGTTAGAAATGGATGCTTCTGGTGTAAGTATGTTAAATTGTCTTTGACATTACACAGTAAAAAATTACAGTAAAGACTGCATTACTCATACTTTGGTACTGAGATCAAGTTGTTGATCTTTACAAATTTTTCAAGTTGATCCACATCCAGCATGGTGTGACTATTATCTAGCTATTTTGCATTTTTGATCTTTCCTCATAATTTCCATTGTTTGTTGATATTGCTCCTAGATTGATAACATCATACTAAAAAAATTCATACATCAAAATTAAAGTTGGAGGAAGGATTGATTATCTTGATCAATTTTCACTATTTGGCACTTGGAATGGTTAAGGAAATAAATAAATTTTGTACATTTATTTTACTTGTATGATACTAAAGTTTAAATTTGAATGAAGTAGAAAGAATAATTATTTACACTTCTTAGTAATTACCAAATTTTAAATTTTGATACAGAGCAATAGTAATTTACTATATTTTAGATTATATATTCAAAGCACTTGTAATTCACTAAATTATATTGTCAGAATTACCTTATTATAACAAATATACTAAATGTTTTATTAATAGGAATGCTGAATCAATTAATCAATTTTGGAGAAACTGGAATATTCCTGTACATCAATGGTGTGTTAGACATCTTTATAAACCTCTTCTTGTTCAAGGATTTTCAAAACTTCAAGCAAATATTGCAGTATTTGTTGTATCAGCATTTTTTCATGAGGTATTAAAAATATATGTTGTTATTTTTGTAATCACCAAAAAAGAGGTTTGTGGGCAAATAAACAAATTTGTTGTCCTTCCAATCTGACATTCACTAGAGGTCAAGAACTACTCGATCTGTGAATTAAAATTGTCTTCTGAGTGGTTCTTGATTTCTGATGAACGTTGGATTGGAAGGACAACAAACCCCCTTTTTGGTGGTTACAAAACTAAGATAATATTCAGCAAATATTCCTGATATTAACTTATATATTTATAATTATAGATTATTTACATTATATATTTACATACAGATTTATTTCATATTACAATATTATCAATATATAAAAATACAGTTGTCCTGTCTATCTCAATCTCAGAGAAGGAAAAAATTCAAGATAGACAGGTTTCAAGATATAGCAGTAATAGTAATAAGTTTGATTGTAGGTATGATATTTTTTTAAGATATATCAAAAAAGTACTGATTTGTTTTGGTTTTATTCGTAAGTCATTATCAAATAAGAATTTGATATTATGATCAAAAAAAGAAAACTTATTTTTTTATAAGTCCTTCCTTATACAGTAGAGCATCAATTATCCAATTCAATTGGGGACTTGGGTTGTTCAGAAAATTGATTTTTCAGATAAATTAAACATTATATTAAATTATAATATCAGTTAATATTATGTAAAGAAAATAAAATACGTATGCATTTTAAAAAAGAAACATTTAATCTTATACAGTCTTGGGTTTTATAAATCTTGGGTTTTGAATGCCTCACTTTTTGAACAATTCGGTTCAAGAGCAAAATTTTGAATTGCTGTTAATCCTGGTTGCCATATGATAACTTGGTTGCTGAACAAGCTACTTGGCAAGAGCCTGCCACAGATGGTCAACTCCCTATACTTCCAATGTTAAAGAAGTCAATAGACCAACCAATCAATGACAGACTACTAATTCAGAAGTTATTGGTGCCAAGATTTCCTCGCATCATTAGTTGTCATGACGTGAATCATCAATTATGTTGCTATTTCAATTAGATTTTAATGTGTGTGCAGGAAATATACTATTTTCATTTTTTGGTACATGCCACAGTTGAATCTAAATCTAATTAATTAATAAAACCTGCATTAATTGACATTTGTGTAATATAAACGACATCCAAGAATTTGTGTTCAAAGATACTTAAGTTAAATTAACTATTTTTATGGATGATTTCTGAACATGAAACTTCTTTTGCTGGGAGACCTCTGACACCATTCCTTTGCTTGTTCCTTTGTTTCAGAATCATAGTAATGAAGCCACATTTCATCTATAGCAGTGGTTCTCAACCGGGGGTACAAACATAAATCGAAGGGGTACATCTAACTTTCATTATAAAATGGCGTATGTTAATCAGTTTGCTGTAAATTATTAACACAAAAAACAAAAAACGACAAAAACTTGCTTTAAAATATCCCAGTGTGAACACCGATTTCCCTTTTAACAGTCTAAACAACTTGTTTATCCACTTGATTTGCCTGTCTATTTGTGCTGAGTGAACATGTAGTCTAGTAAAATTACGGTTTAACCGATGATTTTACTAGACTAACTAAATTTTTAGGTAAATTAATGTTCGGTTAAACCGAGTATTAATTTTAGAATAGAAAAAAAATTTTCTTTTCTATTCTATAATTATTGCTCGATAAGATTGGGTCTTTTCGTGTTGTTACTGGACTACTGGTATTAGGAATAATGAGGCCTGGATCGTACCCCAACCATGAAATGCGTGTCACTGCATGCGCGCATTACTTGATATTTAGCAAATTTAGATGTTACATTTGTTACAAAAATTGAAAGATTCCTGTATTGTTCCGCACATTATAAATTCGCAGCCATTACTTTCGAGGTCGGTACACAATTATAATCTCTATTTAACAACGTGGGAACCAAATTTTGAAAAAATTTCTGAAGATTTATCGCAACAAATATCCCATTAAATTTTGTTAGAAATTATTTTAAAATAATTTAAATTTTCTTTATTGTTAATTATAATTATTTATTTTTAGGAAATGTAATTTATGCATGTATTCTGTGATTTTATATAATATACTTATCAAATAATAATAAATAAATGTATGTACCTAATTAACTTTATTATTATTTACGCAAAATAAGTAATTCACTTTTAGTTATAGTTAGTTAGTTTTTTATAGCGCTCAGTTATAAGGACTGTATACATCTAACGCAGTAATTATAAAATTTACATACAAAAATATAAGGGATACTGGAGAAACAACTAATGGGCTAATGGGGTACATCAACAAAAAAGGTTGAGAACCACTGATCTATAGTCACTAATTGGGCCATGAAATCCTCAACACCAACCTGGAACTATGCCAAAATGGCTTTGTAGGCAATCATGTAATTCCACTTCTGGTCTGCACTTAAAAGTTTTGTTTTTAAACCTATATAATACTGAAATCATACATATATTTATGAAAAGAGATTTTTACTTATGTTCTTTGAAAGAGAAATGTTATCATCTACTATGTTAATTCAGAACTACTAGTGTTTATTTTATTTAATCATTTATTATTAACAAGAGAAAATATTAAAATATTTAAAAAGTTACAAAATGATGTTTATAAAGCTGTTTTAAGGTATAAAAGTTTAAAATCTCTCATATACAAATTATTATTATTATCTAATATATTGTATATTATGAGAAATATATTTTTCATATTTATAAAAACTTATTTACATGTACAATTTCATACTTCAAATGCATATGATGAAAATAACTTTCAATGTAACCAATAATTATTGAGACATGTTGATTATTGTTTCAGAATAAAGATTTAAATTTTAGCTTCATATCTGTATGTAATTTCATTCAAAATTATCAATTACAGTATTCTCATTTTTACTAACATTCTATTTGCTTTTTAGTACTTAGTCAGTTTTCCGTTGAAAATGTTTCGATCGTGGGCATTTTTTGGAATGCTTAGTCAAGTATGTTTTTCATTTCACCTTCTTATAATTGTATGTAATTCTGAGATACTAATAACAAATTTTTTACAAATATCTTTTCTTTCAGGTGCCATTTGCTTTGGTCATTAGTCGATATCTGCATAAAGATTACGGAAATATGGCAGTTTGGGTGTCGTTGATTATTGGCCAACCCTTATGTATATTGGCATATTATCACGATTACTATGTCATTCACTATAATGAAACTACTACATAAATGTGTTAACAATGAAGGAAATTGCCAAAGAACATGCCAAAGTGTCTTAATATTTAGTCAGTATTTTTAAATGTATAATTTGCTTTGTTTTTTTCAATTGTTGAATACTTTAATATTAATTTTGTTAATAGAATTTATAATTGTTAGAAATTTTCATCTCTAGTCATTGATTTAAAGCACATTTAAAATTATTATAGCTATATAAATAGTTGTTGTAAGTAGAAAATATTGATTGATCAAGTCAAAGTGATTTTGGAAGAGAAATTAAAAGGAAAATTTTTATTTAAATTAAGTAAAAATTCTTCAATTTTCAAATGCAAATAATAATTCTAATCATGATTGTATTTGTTTTAAAGTATAATCAAATTAGATATATGCACTTCTTTAATTTCAATACATTGTAAAACTGCAATTTTTATAAAATTACAAATTATTTAATAGAATATTTTTTTATATTTTAAAAATAAATTTATTATGATTGTATATAACATTATATGATTGTATTGTGTTGTCACTGCTAAAATTTATATAATTTTGAAAATAAAATCATTACTTATTTCATTGTTCTATCTATTATAAGCTACTGATATGGTTCTTCCATTTTTTTCACAGCTGTAATTGGAGACCATAGATAAATATGATATAATGTTTAGTCAAAAATGAAAGGTATCGTGTCATAAAGAATAAGTTTGTATATGACATCAGTATAATGGTACGATCATAAAATATTGTATTTCTGTGAATATAAGAGGTACTATATTCTGAAAAGTATCTAAAAACAACTTGCATTTTTTTATTAATTCTTCCAATACTGTAAAAAAAAATTGTTTTGGCTGCTTAGTTTTAACAATGGTTATTGCAGAGATGTTGCTGAATGGTTATTGTATCCATACATTTAATTTACATGAGACAACAATACAAGCTTATAAGCCAAAACAAGCTGGCTGTTCTTATATATGAGGTATATTCTTGCAGGACATGTTTCAAAAAGAAGCAATTTACACATAAGAGCATATTCTTGTTTGCTTGGAAATACTATGTATAGAATTAAGTGTTTGAATTCTAGAGAGTAAAAAAAATTTAGTTGTGCATATAAACTTGATATCATGCCTGAAATCTTACATAAAAAAAGTCTATAAATTTTTTGCTGTAATTACTGTTTTTTGGTCAACACATGATTATATATATAATCATCATGTTCAGTAATTGTTATTGAACTAATTCATCCTTGTCCCCTTTTTTAAAAGGGGATAAAGATCAAATAGTCATATTCAAAATAAAAAATATATAGGCTTATTCCAATTATTAACAGAATAAAATTTTTAAGTATTTTGCACAGAAAAATTAGTGATTTGGAGAATGTATTTTCAGATCAGTCACTGTATGGGATATTTCTGATTGTTGGAATAAAAATATCTATAGGGTAAAGACTACTACTGTAAAAGTGAAACATGGCTGCCTCTATCTTTTTTTTACATTCCTGGCTGTTATAACAGGGAAAGTATAGCAATGTCAAAAAAATCTCCCCCCCCCCAAGATTTTTATATTTTGGACTCTGGACTTTGAAACAGCAAGAAATGGGGGGAATTTTCATTGTATGGGGAGCATGATTTTCTTTCACCCACTTTGAAGCTTAACTTTAGAAATTTTCGATAAAAGGAACAAATTTTGCAGGGAGGTTTGATGCTACTACATTTTTATGGGAAAAGAGGGGCACTTATCATATCTTGAGTGGGGTTGGACTTAATGAAAATTTTGCTCATTATTAGCATTTACAATGTTATTTTATAAAACTTCTCTACCCTCAAAATTAATAAAATATCATAAGCTTTTTGCCATTTTATAATAAAACTTTGGTGCCACCATCTGTTAAAATTAAGTGTTTTTGCCAGGAAAGTTATGCAACTCATTGCTGGATTTTAAAAATATGTAGCACAGCATATTTTATTAACAATAATGTAACTGAACTAAACTTTATTAAATTTTAAATCAACAACAAAATTCAACAATTATAACCATCATATACTTATAACAAAATATAATTGCTATCATCTCATTTTTTGGACTTGAAATTTAAAGCCACACTATTGATGCAGAAACGTTCACCAGTTGGTTGCGGACCATCTTTGAAGACATGTCCGAGATGAGCGTTGCACTAGAAGAGTTTAATAAATTATTAAACATGAGAAACATTTTACAGAAAATGAAATAATTCTGTTTACAGATGTGGAAATTAAACTTTATGATAAAATACTAAATGGTCTAATACTGAACATTAATGTTTGCTAAAAAATGAAGTTAATAGTTCTTTCTTCAAGAAACTATGAATGTGCTGAGATTTATATTAATCTACAGTGAACATCGCAATATGTTGATTGTCACACTGTAATTAGAATACCATCTTCATTACTCAAGAAAAAATTTACATTTGATAATGTCATTCAACCATACATATCATAATACAAAATAAATGACAATTTGCATGTTAAAGTTTATATACTATAATTTTGACACCGTGATCTTTGTTAAAATATACACTTATGAGAACCTAACTTTTATTAAAAATTTCACACTTTAAGACAATGCAAGGAAAAAAAAAATGTAAATAAACATCAAACATTGGTATAATTGGCATTTTGTATTAATAATGATGATAATTTTCATTCAAATAAATCTAAAACTGTTTTAAGTAGAATGCAAACTACAGACCCGTCTTGGTTAGTTAATGTAAATAGAGTATGCATGGTATAGAGATTGCAATACCAGTGTTCAGATTTTTCTTATATTGCATTCAATTCAACTTGCAAAAAGTATTAATGACTGGTTTAAACTAATGTTTTTTGAATACAGAATTAGTAAATTTTGTTACTTCAGGTCAATGTGATCCCAAAAAAATAATGAATCTAAGCTCTCTACAAAAGTGTTATCCCCAAAAGGAATGTTATTTATAGTTGGTATTCCAAATATTCATATGCTCTAAAAAAAAAAGGCAAAATTTCTGGATGGCAGAGGATTATTGGCTTCATTACAGCATATCTACTATAGAAATAATGAGACTAATGCATTTTTCAGCTGTTGTTGAACTGCTAGCTTGAAGACTCCAACTTCGTGACAACTTAAATGTTAGTCTGCAAAAGGTTGAAGTCTATCTATCATAATTATTAAGTACCTACATGGTGAATGCTAATATTTATAAACTTGGTGAATACACTTTAATGAAGCCAAATCTTTTCCTATTTCTTTTTTTCATGGAATATTATAGAGCAAAGAGATTTGCTGTAATCTCCATTTTCCATATTGTGCTAGAAGTAAAACTGTGCTTGTAACATATGAAGATCTTCAGACATTCAAAATACATTGGAGTTATTCCATCAAAAACTAAAGATTGGCTAATTCTTGATCTGAAACTTTGGGTCACTTCTGGAGGAAAATAATAATTGGTCACTTTTAATTTTAAACTTGAACACTTGTTTAATTTTTAAAATCAAAAACACATTGCAAATGAAAAACACAAGTATGAATACTTCAGATTCTAACCCTCTTTTATACAAGTCAACCATGTGCATATTTACTTCTAGTAAATCTTGCAGTTTTAATTATTTTGGCACGAGTATTCTTTCTCTCTCAGATGAAAAATACAAAACTAAATTAAGTGCATTACTTTTTTGATTTCTTCAAATTCCATTTTTTACAATTGCAAATTCACTAATAAATACCAGTACATGTATGAAGTATACTGTATAAGTGAAATAAATTGGTATTTAGACTATTGTTGAACTCAAAAACTTCTAAATTAAATGATAAGAAAGTCTACAAATGATACCATTATGTAGTGTAAGTTTCTTATTCCTATGATATGCTGTCTATGCCATTGCAATAATTAACAAACAAAACAATGAAAAACTGAAAAATATTGACAGATGATTTTATTAAATTATACATAATTATATTTTAGCACTTTATTTTCTATGTGACAATTGTTATTAAAAGGATAAGTATGTTTTATATAATTTAAACTTATTTTCAAAATTAGAAAAATACCAAAAAAGTGATATTGCAATCTCTAAAGGTATAACATTGAATCAAGGAAACATTTCATTGCAAAATTTAAGTTTTTACAAATTAAACAAATGAAATAGCAAAAAAATCTATTTCAGCTTTTCAGACCTGATTTTCAATTACAATTGTAAAATATTCATAGGTCTTACTAATGCAATAGATTTTCTAACTATATTAGTGTAAAATATAGTTAAAACAAAACAACAACAAAATTATTTAAAATTACCTGTTTACAAAGTACTTCGGTACGCTTTCGCCCAAGAGAATTATCGGGTTTTCTGACTACATTGGCTTGGGATTCATCACCAGATTTAGCACCATGAGCAGTATGAAAAGCTGGCCATCCACAACCAGAATCATATTTGGTATCAGAACTGAAAATTTCAATCATCAATGATGATCAAATATTACACACAATTATTTAATAATACAAATTTTTAAAAATCTACTACTACTACTAATTAAAAGCTTTAAGATTTGACTAATTGTTATAGTGCAGTTTAATGATACAGAAAAAATGGTAAAGTCATGTTTTTAAATTCTAATCTTCAAATCATTATGAAATCTTCCAGTCTAGTCTCTCCTTTAATTCTTAAAATTTGGTATTGACTAAGATCTATACCAAATTTTTAAGTTTTTCCTGTTCATTGATATTCAAAGTTAACCACTCAGCAGTGAGCGATGAATATATTCATCAAGGGCGATCGTGTGGCAGTGGTGAGGGACAAATATATAGGTAAAATGCTTTTGGGAGTATCACCAAAAACTAGCCTAAACTACTGTGAAAAAAAATTCACATGAATTAAGTCTTTTTTTATTGTTACATTTCTTTACTAGACATTACTCTTTCAGAAAAAGATTTTGTAAACAGTTATGAGAAAATTTTGCATATTTATTCTCTATTACTAAGGGGTGTAGTATCATACATGACGATTCTACTGTTGAAAGGTTAACAATTAAAATATATTTTTCACTAGATGATCAGGCACTTGTAATATTTTTGTTCCGTTTAATGTGAGATCAAGAGATGACAGCAAATGGTTAGTTTTGGTACAAGGATCAATGTAGGAAATGTTTGACATTGACATTTTCATTCAATTTGATACCCTTAAGTCAAAAGTTAAATTTTACATGGCTATGTCAATCCTATATCCCAGATGTTAAGAGATCACTTAGATTAATGAGTTTTAATGTCAGGTTCAATATATAAATCATGCCCAAATTTTTTTTTTTTTTTTTTAAATTGTTTAATACAAATAACAGTTAGGGCTATAAAATAATTTATTTATTGACTATACTGTTACATTATTCAGATATTAACAAATAAAGTCATGCACTATCATCATTAGATTGATTAGTGTGTGCATGAAAAAATCAGCAGTATGCACTGGTGTAAAATGTACAGTAATATTGGAAGTGTTCAGATTGCATATAATTTAAAGATTTTTGCAAAATTCAATAAAGATTTGTGAAAAAGCCGATTATTGATTTTTCAGGACTATTAAAAACCATGAGATTTACTGTATAGACATGTTAAACATTAAACAAAATAAAGATGGATTATACCAATGTAAAGATAAGAAACTCAGTTTATTCTTAGTAAATTAACTAATTATCATCACTTCATAAAGCACTCAAATACTTTTGACATACACAAAATATTTAGAACATTTCAATTTTAAAATTCTCACATGCCAAGTAAAAAAATTAAAATAACCAATTAGTGTCTTATAATTGTTAGTATTATAAAGAAATGTAAAATATTTAACCACCACATAAATTTCTAGTGAATTCATATTCCTGTGTGTGAGAGTGTTAGTCTGCCTGCATAGTTGCAGTGAAGACAGTAACATAAAACAAATCTTTATTTTGAGAAATGTCAGATACTCTAACAATGTAACATCCTTCTAATGTAGAGTATATCCATCTTCCAAAACATGTTTTGCAAGCTCTGTATAAGTTGAAGGAACAATCAATCATACGTATCCATGTTTTTAAATATTGTAACTATCCATACTGATAATTTAGTTACAAAAGAGATGGATGGTGAATAAAAACAATCAAGTTTAAAAAGAGACATCCAAATGGGAACAACAAATGTTGCACTTTAGTAAGTTTAACTACATATGCTGAAACCATAATATCCAGACATGATCAAAGCAAATTGGATAGTATTCATTTCTTTTTGTAATAAATCAGCTGAAAATGTTGGTCTGCATATCATGTACTGGCAACCATATCTTCTATGTTTATATACTTGTGTCTGGAACAATTTATTAGGGATTATAGTGGGTGAAATATTAAACCTGTCATATATAACAAAACTTAATTATTATTCATAGAGATACACAATTTCCTTTTTAGATTTAAATTATGATTGCTCAGTTTCACAGTCAACAGAATTTAATGGTAGGATCTATAGATAAAATACGACTCCCATCAACCATTAACCAGTGTGAATATGGTTAACATTTGAGTGACAAATGTTTTCATAACCCCTTCTGGGCTTTTCTTCAGGCTTTTTTTTTTTATGGACCCGGATATTACGGCAGACTTCCCTGGAGCCCAAATTATCCTTACCACCCTGCACCCAGAACACCAAGTGGTTGGAAGTGATTGAAATTTTTAAGGCTTGCTGCAGAACTGCCTACATTAATTTTAGGGAAGAGATGTGTCTTTCAATGGCATAGTAGGCTTTACTAGACAACAATATTTAATTTTCAATCTTATTTAAAGAGTGCACATATGGTATTCGAAGCCTTACCATTCAATTTTATATTCAAATGTTAACTGCCAGCTTGTTTCAAACTAAAAAAAAAAAAAAGCCTGAAGAAGAGCCCAGAAGGGGTTACAAAAATTTTCGTCACTCAAATGTTAATTGTATTCACACTGGTTAATGGTTAACAAAGTCGTATTTTATATTCATCCCAGTGTGTTGTGCAGTTAAGGATCTATATATTTAGTTTATGTACAGATTCAAACAAGAATTTCTGTTGACACCTCCCATGTAATAAGGATATTATCAACATAAATATAAGACTGGAAAATTAAGAGTGATGGAAATTCAGAATATAAAATATTTCAACTTCTCATTAGTATTTCTCCACCAACATTGAGGACAAGGAGAAACCATTGGGAGATCTGTTGTTCTAAATAAATTATATTATTGAGCATTAAATAATTATTGCTCAATATAAGCTCAATTGATGCAATTGAAAATATAGAAAAATATGCATTGGGAAGCCTTTGATTATCAAAATGTTGCTGATAGACATCATCACCTTAAACATAGGAACAGAAGAAAACAGATATAAAACTGAATAGTGAATAAGATTGATGTTGTAAGTGTTGATCTGACAGTTTACAGCATATAATCCATAGGATTATTAGAGCCAAAGCTGCTAATTTGACACCACCCATAAATACATCTTGTCCCAGATTGTTTTTTGAAGCCCATAAAAATGCTAAGTGTAGGTTTCTGTGTTATTTCTGTACTTGAAGAACAACTGAATTTATAAATAACTGTTCTTTGCACTCCATTTGGTTTCTATTTCAGTCTTTGTTTATGTTGTGTTGTTCTATGTGAGATATATTTTGTTTTTGTTGCATGAAGTGAGTATTTTCTAAAGTGTAGGAAGGCATTGTATAGTATTTCTGGTAGTGGTATTTTTGAGTTTCAAATATGTGATGCCCTGAGTAAGAAATTTTGGCATTTCTTGTGGATTTTTGATTGTGTAAGGAAAATGTTTGACTAGTCCCTGCTGCAGAGATCTGAATATTGTCTGTACTAGAATATTTTATCATCTGCCGTGTGGGCACTAAGAAGCTTGCCTCTTAGTGGACTCGCTAAAAGAGGTCTTTTAGCAAGCCCACAATATGGCAGCCAGGTGGTGAGGACAGGGATGACACATCTGGACAGACCACCACCTGAAAAATTTCTGGGGCTTTTTGACCCATCTGGATTTGATCCTGGGTCTCCCCAAAGTGGAGGCTGCCACCTTGACCACTCAGCCATCCAGCCATTTTTTCAGCTAGTTAGAAAAAAAAGCACTGACATCATCCATGCTTTCTTTTTTTTTTGGTGCTTATTATATAGGTAATGTCAATATTGCAGAAACATCAACATTTTAAAGATTTTTTCCAGTTACTAAAAATAGAAGTTTTTCATTGCCTGTCAGGTTTGTTTCCAAAAGAAGAGTTACATGTTCTTTTTATTTTTTATTTCTGTGGCATGAATCACCTTTGAACAATATTTTTTTAGGCAAACATTTAAAAAAGATCATTTCATATACTCCAGATGATTTTAGCATATGTTTCTGTACAATTTCTGGTAAACCTTTTCTTGTAAATCAGTTCATGCAAAACTCTCACATTTCTGTATTTTCACCACCGAGTTTGAATAAATTTAAGCAACATGAAATAGTTAATAATAGTCACACCCCACTTTGCTTTGAATTCAATTTGTTAACTGTTAGAAAAAAAAATTCAAACAATTCAGATAAGTTTTCCATTGGTAGAAATATTCTTGTCTCTACACTGTACAATTCACTTCTACACACAAATTTCATCATTTAGTTACTCATGTTTATGCTTACTTTTCTGTTCTGTGATTCTTTTCTGAAGTTTTCTAAAATCTCCTTGCTTATCAGATATATAGACAAAGTAGTTAATGGAATATTATGTTTCTTTTTGCCTTCTTCCATGTCATTATGATAAAATATATTTTTTATTGATATTATCAACAATATCTTTTTCTCTTGTTCATCATTTCTATGTACCTACTTAGTAATGAAAATAGTGGCCATTAAATGTATTGACCATCAGTTATGAAAATGTCAATATGAAATTCAAACTTTATAGTGTGAATGTTTAGATCCATATAAGGAGATACATATAGACCAACCCATAAATTTAATTGGCCAATAATTCAGTAAGTTGTCAAATTACAAATATGTTCATTACATTTTTAAACTTTCAAAATTTAAAAAAATAACAATTTTATTCTTAGTGCTTTAAAACACAAATACCTTGAAAATACGAAAAAATAAAGCATACAAAATTAGACTTGAAATAAAGTCTCTGGTCTTTAGATATCAAGTTAGTAAAATGTGATCTATGAACTATATTGACTTATATAAACAGAATGCATTGAGTCTAAAGAAGTTAAGTTGAGAAAAAAATAACTCAAAATTTGAATTAGCAAGAATTTCAAGGAGGTTTGATTTAGACAGTCTACTGTATTTCTATTGTTTTCAAAATTCAAAATTTAATATTGCTAAAAAAGTGCAGAGACAAACAATTTTAACAATTACAATACATAAGTTTGTTTGAAGAATATCATTTTCATTTTGATCTTGTTTCTCTGAACAAAAATGACATTTTCTGAGCAAAACTTCTTAATATAATTAATATTTAACTCTAAAAGATATTTTCTTCTTGATTAAAGGTATAAAGTTTTTAAAAACCTTTCATCAGACAAATATTTTTGAAATTTTCAAACAAGAATAAATTTTATATCAATATAATATTAATTATAAGATTAATTTATATTATACCTGAATAATTCTACTCCACAGCAAACACAAGTATAAGTTCCTTCTTCACAATGATGATTGTACTCACCAGTAAAAGGCTATAAAAAATGAAATAAAAAATTAATATCTCAAGAAGACTATTGGAAAATCAAATCTTAAAAAAAAAAACAAATAAAATGTATAGCTTTATATGTAATGATTAAATTAATAATGATATCAAACTCATCCTTGATAATGCATGAAATAAATGTTTCCATTTAAGAATTCCAGGACACTTATTCTGTTTTTTAAAAGAACTAATTTTACTATAGTAATAATTAATATTGTTATTCTATATTTAAAAATAAATTATTAAAAGAGAAATAGTTAAGCTATATTATATTTTACACTAAATTAAACTTGTAAAAACAAAAATTTTTAAATAGCTGAAAATCAGATTCAGTGAATGAAGTTTCAACAATAATTTCTATTATAGGTATACCTCGCCTTACGTCTGTAATTGGTTCCAAGAGAGGCAACTTAAGTCAAAAAACGACGTAAGTCGAATTTACTTGTCACTAAAAACACCAATATTGAGCAATTAAAATCATTAAATAAGACAACAATACAGAAACACAAATGTTTTCATGTTTTGTTCTCTAGGATTTATGATGATTATATTAACATTTACTGTAAATGTACATATTTTAATATGATTTTATGTGCTTTAACACTTTTCTAGTGTGGTGGATGGACATAAAGTCAAATAAAATGACTTAAACTTGATTTTTATTTTTCCATATATTTTTTGACAAACAACGTATAATCGAGAACAACGTAACTCGAAACGACGTAATTTGAGGTATACCTGTAATTTAAACTGTCCTTTAATGAAAGAAATCTGTTGTGAAAAAAAATCAGAATAATACTGTACTGTTATGTACAAGTTTTATAATTACTAAAAATTCATTCATATTCAAATTCTGATGATGTAGTTGTGTAATAATCATCATGCAATTTATTGTATTATAATAACATTTTATCGTAATTATTTTATTGTAATAAATATCATATCTTGATAAATATAAAAGATTGAATATATTCAATGTATATTAAAAAATCTAAGATAAATTGTTCTGTTAGATTATATAATTTTAAATCCATCCAAATCGATACAATACTCACTTTAAAAATTTATTAACTTAAGATTGTATATTGTAATTTTTAACATTTTAATATTAAATCCTTAAATGATTATAATCAAAGTAAGAATTTTATTAACATAATTCAAAATTTTAAATTCAAAATTCTGATTTCATATAAAAATTGTATAATAAATTGTACAATTAAAATTTTCACAAAGGCCATATTTACAATTTTTATTTATTTACTATTATGTAAAAATTATTAGTGTTTAATGATGGCAGTACCAGCAGAGATTTAGATGCAGGAAGAACTGAAATATTTGAATAACAGACTATAAAGAAAAGTGTTAGAGTAAGAGCTATTTCATTTTAGGAATCTTAATTTTAGTTCTACAATTTCTTATACAATTTTTATATATAAATTTTGATAAAGGCCAAGTTTATAATTTGTAATTGTTTATTATTATGTAAATGTAAATTTGATTTTGTAATATAATCTAATAAAATTATTGAAAAAAAAAATAAAAAAGATGCCATACAATCTTTTATTTAAATTTAATTCAATACTAAATTTGCAAATCTGAAAGAAATGCAGATTAGCAAAAATGTATGCAAGAAATATTATACTTTAGCTTACAGACTGTCTGCAAAACATTTATGGTAATCATTATTATTTACTACTATTGTAAATTTCCAAAATTTAAAGAGTTGCAGTACTAGAAATAAGCTACAGGTAACCCCCGTATAACACGGTAATTACGTTCCAAAAAATTGCCGTGTTATGCGAATCCATGTTATACGAAACAAAGAACTAATACGAAAAGGAGGGTTAGGTTCCAAAAATTAAAAAACATGCTAGTATATTTTCATAATTAAGATAAATATCTTCATTAAAATTTTTTAAGTGATACATATTAATATAAATTAAACAATGTTTTCTTCGTCATCACTAAAAACACTATTAATTAACCGAGAGCGTTTTCTTTTTGGCAAGTTATCCTTATCCTCTGAGCATTTTTCTGCATTATCTTCAGATCCATGCTTTACCTTTTGCAAAATGTATGTAATTTTAGATTGCTTGCTTCTAGTTAAAAGGTCTTTATAAATTTCCTTATATGGTGCTAAGCACTTATGAAGAATAAAGCAAGTATGGAATAAGGGAAAAACATTCGGCAACATCAGAAGCAGAAGCGTCGCGATCTGGCAACATTGAAACAAGTTTCGAGAAGGACCACGTGTATCGACAGAAGGCGAGAAGAGAAAATTTACATACTTAAGTACTAATAGTATTTACTATTATTACTTACAAACTATTATTACTTAAGTATGTAAAAATTTATTACATTTCCTGTTGTACAAGGGTTTTACCCAATTCTTGAACCATGTCAGAGTGAATCCGTGCTATAAAAGTACCGTGTTATACGGGGGATGGTACCAATTCTCGAACCGTGTTAGAGTGAATCCGTGCTATAGAAGTGCCGTGTTATACGGGGGTTACCTGTATATTATTTTCAAACTCATTAAAATGATAGGAAATGCTAAACATACATATCAATTACATACCTGTTGATTATCAGTTAAAATCATAGTATAAAGCATTAATAGTTATTGCAAATACTTTGAATATGACATGGAATTATTGATTAATATTGCATAAGAAATACTGAAGTAAAAACATTTGGATTTGAAATATTAATTAATTTAATTTTTATTTCAATATAACAATAAAATGTTTTCAAAATCTTCAAAATTAGATATTACTTTTTTAATAACTATTAATCAATTCTGTTAACAAGTCAAAATACTGTAATAAAACTTATAAAATTCCTGAACACATAAATATCATTATCTGAAAAGAATTAGAAATTAACACATACAATCAAATTGATTTGCTTACTAAAAAAAATCAGATAAAATTTTATTTAAAATACTATATTAATAACTTTCTAAAAATCTACATTTTTTTCAGAAATTAAATAATTTTTAATGAAGTTGTACATTTTTAAAATCAGTAAAAAATTTTAATAAAATCCAATTTTATGCTAACTTTTAATAATTTTAACAGTGGATATATGAATTCCTCAAAAATATTTCACCAAAACATTTTTGAAGATATGCTTTCTTAAGAAGTTTAGACAGAGAATTTGACTTCTGATTTAATTACGAATGGATCAAAACTATGTTTTACCAATACAATTCTATACAATATACATATTAGTTTTAATTATATGCACTATTTTTTTATATCTGTAAATATTATGCTCACAGGTTCAGTTCCTTTTTGGCGACATACATAATATTGCTCTGGGGTTAATTTTCTTTTCCATTCTTCTTCTGACAGTTTTATTTTAGCACGGTCAGTTTCATTTTCTGTAATATAATTTTAAAAATAATTGGAATTATTAAATTTATTATTATGATCTACAATAGTGCACTAATTAATAAGATACATTTATTTTAGAATTATTATGAATTATTAAAATTAGAGTCATTATTAATTTAATGAAGCTATCATCTTCATATATTTATTACTTACTAGTAAAATGGGTTATAGGAATAGTATTAACTATCTTAGCTATTGACTAAAATTAGAATTACAATTCTATCACCAGTTTTAAATATTTACTACAATATATATTACAAATTGGTACTTATTAAACAATACATTTTTCTTTAGTTTTAATAATTATTTCATATTATTGAGTTCAAATTCTATTCATTTCTATAAATTTATGTGTACTTCATTTTCATTAAACAATTCAGTATTAAAGCAGAAATCACATTTTATTTCCTGTAATTGTACAAATTTATTTCTGGTAATTCACCAACTAACAGCTGATGAATTATCAGACAGTCACATTAAAATTTTCATTAAAAACAAGGAATTCACCACTTGAATGAAAAACACAGTATAAGATTATGAAAATATTTTATTATGATCTTATACTATGTCTTCATTAAATTGGTAATTATTTTCTTAACATTTGTAAATATTTTTTATTTCTCATCACTTTTATCAAAATATAAGATGAAAGTATTCATTGTAGAAAATGAGCAAACATTTCTTTCTGAAAAATGTTTTTTAGTTTATTATACTAATTGTACAACTCGTGAAAAAAGAATCATCATCTTGTTTTCAAACATAATAATTTAGAAAAATCACTTACATTTGCCTTTTTAAATCAGCAAGCTTCAGTTCTTCAAAATGCAAATATTTTAGGTCATTAAAAATGATCAAAAACAGGTGAATGTAGGTGATTTTGTAATCAAGTCAGTTTGTGGTTGTGTTATAATAATTTAGTTAAAGTTGTTTTACACAAAATGTTTAAAAAGTTATACAAAAACTTTTAAGGATGATAGGTGCCATTCATTAATTACATGTTTACAGCTTAAGGAGAACTGGTAGCAGTGGTGTGCTATGAATGGAAGCTGTGGAAGAACCGCTTCCCTTGTACTTTATTTTCTAAAATGTAAACACATATTTTGCAATTATTTTCATATTTTAACGTACTTTGAATTAATTAAAATTAATATTTTATTACAACCACATTATGTATTTTATTACAAATTTCTACACATGTAAAAAACAATGATAAGATTGCCATTGTATATTCGATATAAATTCCTATATTCATATTCCCAACAGAAGTGTTGTATTGTCGAATATGGGACAGCTTCCATGGCAAAAATTTTTGAATGGTGTAAAGCAGCCAGATTATATGCATGCACTTTACAGAGCACCAACCTCACACGGTTTAGTTCATGGATGCTCATATTTTGGTGTAGCATCCTACGCACCAAAATATAGTATAATGCTTCCAATGATTCTATCCAGGCCCAGCACAGCTTCCCTATCATTAAATGTCACTGCATGCCACTGACAGGTAGTTATAAAAAGTACAGCATTGTATACAATGGACAGAAAGGGACATTGTCTACATGGACTTTTTAGTGGTATCAGTGGCATGTATATTTGTCTTTTAAGCCTACTTATTAGTCATATGAATAAACTATCAGTTAAAAAAGTTCTGCAAATATTTTTTAAGCCATTGTTTCAATATCAGAGGGTTCATAAACTATTGTACATGATAGGGAAGTTGTGCCAGCCCTGGATAGAATCATTGGAAACATTATACGATATTTTGGTGTGTATCATCCATGAGCTAAACCGTATGAAGTTGGTGTTCTGTAAAGCACATGCACAAATGCCTATAATCTGGCTGCTTTACACCATTCAAAAATTTTTGCCATGGAAGCTGTCCTATATTCAACAATACAATGCTCCCATTGGGAATATGCATATATGAATTTATATTGAATATAATAGCAATCTTATCATTGTTTTTTACATGTATAGAAATTTGTAATAAAATACATAATGTGATTATAATAAAATATTAATTTTAATTAATTCAAAGTATGTTAAAATATGAAAATAATCACACAATATGTATTTATATTTTAGAAAATACAAGGAAAGTGATGCTTCCACGGACGGCATGCCACTGCTATTGTATTGTACTGTACATGTAATTAAAAAGGAGGAGTTTGCCAAAAATATATCACAGTACACAGAGGGAGGAGATCAAAAGTCTTTTAAAAACTATATTTGAATATATTACATAAAAAATGCTATATAATTAATACCAATAAACTACCTAGAATAAATCACTGTATAAAACAAAACTATAACAACAAGCAATTATTTATTGTGACTTTGTCACAATGCCAGGCTGCAATTTTTAATCATATTTTTAATTTATTTAATTTAAAATATATGCTCTCCACCTCGAATTAGTACTATAGTAGCTTGCCCCGGGTACATAATACTTTTCCATTAGCAATGGAGTTGTACCAGTTATGTAGCTAAAATTTTTTAATTGAAGCATGACTTCCGGTTTGCATCAGAAGTTCATATATAGTTAATCAGGGCCTCTGCCCCTATGCTTTCCATATCTGGTCTTGAATTTCATTTATCTAACCCTGTTCTCCAGATTAAGGAAAGACAAATGGATGATAGTTGGAATTTATAGGTCTACAAATTCTTCAAACTGAAGCCAAAAACTATACATAATAAATGGATGGCCCCAAAGAACTCAAAATAAATAAAATATCCTATTAAAAAATCAGTTGACAAATCAACCAGGCTTGAGATCAAGTATATTTTCAGTTGCAATCTTCAATGTCAAATGTGTTATACAATATTGCATTTAGACATAAAGACAGTATTTCAAGCAGCTTCTGTAATAAAATTTATGTAAATTCTCTGCAAAAAACTTTGAAATAATGCAATAATTGAATATTAATATGAAAATATTAAACTATTACAGTTTATGTTTAGCAATTTCATAATTTTTCTTTATAAGAGTCTCCATTAACATTGTAAGTTATAACTGAAAATGTTATCTATCTTGGAAATGGATAAGATCCTTTTTTATTGAAATTTTTACCATAATTTTTATAATAGCACTTTATGTGTATACAATCTAATTATTTTTGTAATCATTATGTTCACCAGTTTTTAAAATTATAAATATAAGTTAATTAAACACTCTGGAGAGACGATGTCCAAGATAGAAAGAAGCAGACAAGACAGATTAAGGATGGAATTTTGACTCCATATAAACATGGGAGAAAGCAAAGACAAAAGAAAATGATGATGATGATGATAAAATAATTAAACATTATTATGAATCTAGCAAATAAGTTACATTTCTAGATCATTTTGTTTAAAAAGAACATGTTACAGATGGCACATAAGTAGATAATAGTTTTTGTGGCCTTTTTTAAGTTGCAAGAATTTACAACAGTATGTAAAAACACATCAAAAGAATTTTTGATATATCATATATATAGAAATGTATGAAATTTATTATCTAAAATTTTGGAAAAATACATATTTGCAGAGCTCAAAATTTCCCTGTACAGAAATTTATATTAAAGCATCAGATTCATAGTTAACTTTCAATGTTACTGCTGTTCTTTCAGTTTTATTTAAATGTATGTAATTTAAACACTACACACACTTGAATAAAAAATAAAAAAAAAAAAGACTCAAAGTGGATCTAAAGTCTATTTGGAGTGTTGGTTTATTCAAGCCTAAAGGGATATTTGAATCTGTGGGTTTATTTTTTCAAAAGTTGTGTGTGTTGGTGTGAGCAGCCACAAAGGTCATTAAGTAAAAATAAAAATATAAGTCTAAAAAAGTAACATGGAGAACAAGAAATGTGACACAAACAATAATTTACATAATTACAATTTTCAATAGATTGTTTACAGTAGTCAGTCAATAGATTGGAAAATTTGATTAGAATAAACCCATGTGGGTTTACTTTTTTTAAATGAAACTGGAATGTGGGTTTATTTAAGCCCACATTCCAGCTACCCTCGATTAGACCCACAGATTAATTTAAACCTGTGGGTCTAATCAAGTGCATACAGTATTTTAAATTTTCTGTTCCATGCTCTTTTGATACATTTAGATTTGATTTTTTATACTCTTTCAAATTGTTTCAATATCTTATTTCATATTTGTATGATTTTATAATTCACCAAAATTTTGAATATTGGATGAAAGACAAAAATATAAATTGTACATATTATAAACCATCATAAAATTTAAAATACAAAGAATAGCAATATTTTAATTTTGAAAAATGTTCACAATGTTTAATAAAATCTAGTCTAGTTATTTTCATGTAATCAGTACATTTGAATCTTAAACATGAATTGCAATAACAGTAAATTATTTATATAAATTAATTTTTAGAGATCTATTGATTATTTTAGAGATCATCTTTGTCATAAACTCTAATTATTGAGTCTTCTTTATATAAATCCATTACAAATTTAAAAATAATTCACTGCTATACATTTTATGAGGAAAAAACAAATTTTTATCCTAATGGAGAGAAAGATATCTGACAAAACCAATAATAAAGACAAAAGTACTTGTATTAATTTGTAGTCAAACTGCTTTTCTTTTTCATAAATTATTGATGTAATATTTTAAAACAGACTTTAAATATGTAATAACATTAGTTGATCAGTATTTGTAAGAAAATCATAGTTTTGTATTTTCTTCTAAATATATGGCTTTGGAAATAGCTTTAAACTTATTAACAAAATTATACAGTAAAAATTTAATTCATATATCTTTATTCCTTTTAATCGATGATAAACTATGGTTTATTGTCTTTTCAAAACACATTTCGGCAAAAATCATAATCAACGTTCATTTATTTGATATATCATAACTAACAATAAAGCACATCAAAGAACAGTTTTATATTTTATTGATAAGTTGTCAATACATGGAAAAATAGTACAATAAGGTAAATCAAGAAAATAATCAAACTGTTTAAAAGGTA